TTTTTTACCCAAATGAACTTCATTCTTTTGTAGTGTTCATAGCTGTGAAACAGACATGTGCCCACATTAGGAACACTACCAAGGGATGTAGGGTGATCTCAGTGTCATCTACAACATCCTTCCCAATTCATTGTCTATGGAGCAGCTGCAGACCTTTTACTTTAAGACATCACGAATTTGAGATTTAACACTCTAGCTTTTGGATTTGGAAGAGTTGTTCATGTTTACTTATATTTTTGGACTGTCTTAAACCATAGGAATTACATGTATGAATGTTGAAAATGGGCATAGTTCCCCTTTAAGGTAACACTGACATCTCCACACATTGAACATCTCCATCAGTTCCCCGTGTAGTGTAACGTTAGCCTCAGTCTTACCTTTTTGTCCCTCTGCCATTTGTCTTTTCCAAACGAGGCATCTGCACTGGTATATTTTTACGAGATAAAACTTACTTCTCATGTGTTTTACGGAGTCGACGTAACGTGGAGCGAATTTTAACTAGCTAACAAGCTAACTGTGGACTAATCAACGTCTACAGCAGCCAAACAGTAACTTTACAACGGCTAACACAAACGTTAGCTAACAGTTACAACGGTTAACGACAACACTAACGGACAAACTTATAAAATGATTCAAACGAACAACCGTCTTCATTACGAGTCACGACCGCATTAATTTGCTTAAATGTTTGGCATGGTCTCACCGACGCCTACCTTGCTACCCGGCTGTGCACTGAAGTTGAAGGTGTTTGTTTTCAGTAGGTGAAAGCAAAAGACCGGATTTCCGGTTTAGTGTCCGCCGATATTTCAAAATAAAAGGTTTCATGGCTTTTTTTGGAATCAGTCACTCTAAAAAAAACACAAAAATACCACTTTTGCTCATATACTTAACTGAAACCCCCCTTCATGGCGAAAATCTTTTTACAAGCTTATTAAAAAAAAGTAACAAACTATACTATAAGCTATACAAAATAGACTTCCTCTCTTAAAGGTGAACTACGCCCATTTTCAAAATTCATACGTGTAAATCATGTGGTCTAACACAGTCCAAAAATATATGTAAACATGAACAACTCTCCTAAAACCCAAAACTAGAGGGCTGAATCTCAAATTCGTGACGTCATCAAGTATACAGTCTGGAGGTGCTCACAATGAACAGGAAAAAATGTTCTAGATGTTCTAGTTTGAGACTCCTTTGAAAGAGAGAGTAGTTCATGTTCAGAAATATTGATTGAACCTTCCTCAGCCATGGAAATGGCATGTTGGAATTCTTAATTTAGGTGGCGTCCCCGCATAGAAAAAGAATGAGAGTAGAATGGACTGAGTAGCGGCCATTTTGTATGTGTATCTTCACCATTGTAACCGTTGTGATAGGCTAACGTCTGTATAAACTTACATATAACTCGCGGTGAGTCGCATACTCATTGAGGTGAGGCTTTACAGTAAAGACCGAATGAGCAGTGAAATATTAGGCTACGTTTTCAAATAAGCAATGCGTTAATTTTAAATTATTACTGTTATGGTTACTTCCCTGTTTTTTTTTTTTGCTAATAATTGCATGTTTGTTGAAACATGTAAACTTGAACTGTAACTGCCTCCAAATAACGAGCAAGAGCCACTGCTCAGTGGACAACTCAGAGACGGAGATAAACCGCTGCAGATCAGCATATTTTCACATTTAACGCTGAGAATTAAGGATTTATTGCAACATAACCAGAGATGGTGTTTGTTTGAAACAGTGGACTAATTTACTAGATGACTAACAAGGCTAAATATGACGGTTTTGGTGAGTTTTGTTTCTGTAGAGTTTGAATTAAGTGCGTTTTACCTTGAGTTAGCAAGGCAATTTAACTAATGTTAGTTTTAGGTCAGTGAAAGACAGAAACTTTGATTGGTGTGTGGCTGTATTTGCTGTTTAATAAGGAAAATAGGCATAAGGGTAGGCCGATATGGAGTTTTCAGACTAGTGACCATGACACACTTTACGGCCCCACTGACTTGTGTTGTCAGTCACCATAACAACCAGCAACAATCGCATTTTTTGTGGTAGTCAAATGACCACAGCAAACAGTCCAATCTCCGTTATACTCTCATTCTATCTCTGTGTTCCCCTTTAAAAATCTACTGTTACCAGATATAAAGGAATTATTATCGCACACAAAAGCATGTTCAGTCTTTTTCTGTGTCTCATGGCCTCGATTTCTAAGGAGACAGGAGCCACATCTGGACAACCACAGTATTAAAAACCAAAAACAAGTGGGCACAGGCCTGTATAAGGAGGCTATTAATGGTTGTGGGTACTTGGGAGTGGCTCAGCTTCAAGACCTTGGACATACTTGAAAGGCTTAAAATAGTGCTTGAATAATACCTCATTATAAAACATCTGCATCAAAAAGGAATGTTTCCATTAAGGAAAAATTTATTCTTATCAGTCCTACTTTTTTAAGTTAAGTATTACTGCTTGAAATTCTGACATTAAGAGCTTATAAATGTATAATGGTAACCATTACCCAAAATTAAGTTTTTAAGAGCAGCACAGAGAAGACCACTGATTGGGCTGACTGTACGCATGGGTTACAAACTAGATAATGACCTAAAACCTTATCTATGTTGCTCAAAGGTTAAGCATGAATTCAGTGTGCTGCAGGAGTAAAACACATGACCATTCACTGCCAACACAGCATGCCTTCCCTCACTATTGACAAAACAAAAAATGCTGTTGGTCTGGATTTTTGCAGAACTGAACTCAACAAAGGTTCATTAAATTTGAAGTTACTTGACTTTTTCTGTTGTCATCTCGGTAACAGGCCTAATTTCAAATAAGTTTCTTTTACATTTATTTCTAATTACTGATTTCTTGCAGACTGCTTCCAATGAACTAATATAACATGCACATCAAACATCCATATTCACAGTACTCAAAAGCGGTGTAAACACTAGTTTAAAATCCCAGATGCATTGACTGATTGGCCCTCTTATGATATTTCCTGCCAAGAAAGACGTACTCAGAGCAATTCTAAAAATAAAATGCATTCAAAGTAGGTTTTTTGTCCTTTTTTGGAAGGTTTTATTCTCCTTGTTTCCATATTTTTTCCTTGCATGACAGAAAAAAAGTTGTGGGAATGGATGGTAATAATAAACCTATACATTTTCCCATGAATACTTGTAAATGCTGGGGTGTTAATATTCTGACAAAAATGTTAGAACAAACCATTATTGTAAGGTTACAACAGCAAATAAACAATCAAAACATTCAGACAAGTGCTTGGATCAGTGTTTTTATGTTGAAGGAAATCCTGCTGAAATGTCGCTTAAATGTAATTCTTAGAAATCGAGTATGAATAATATACCTTTTGATTTTTTTTTCCTAGATTAACAATTCAGCTCAAGTTAGTAAGGATGGCAAAATCTTTATCAAAAATATCTCATTTTAATTGTTTGCTTTCAAATGATTATTCAGAGCGCTTCACAAATGTTTTTAAAACAAGCACAAAAATGTACAAAAAGGAGGTGCTGATATAACGCTGAATATGATAATGTAGAAAAATCTTTATGATACAACAGACCTGCTCTTCCAGTCTTTCAGATTTAAATAGAGGTCGTCTAACTACTCAGACACCTGTGAGCTTAAATACTTAAAGTATTTTACTGCTTCCAGGCTGATTTGATTTCAGCACGACCACAAATGAGAAGTGAAGTGACTTCACACGTGACTGATTCATGGTTTGGTTTATTCTTAGAGCATGGAATACTTCAATAACATATTGTTATATATTTCGCTCAATGATGGAAATGTACAACAGATTCCTCGTTAATGAATGCAAGCATCATTACAGTACATCTGATAGATCTTGTATTTGCAAAGTTCCAGTTAACACTTAAATGTGTCGACCACAGGTGGATCTTAAAGGATAAGGCTGGTGATGTTCTGTATTGTTGTTATTGTCAACATATCCCAAGAAAAAGGCCAAAAACTAACAACGGTTTAGTGCATTGGCTCTCACTTTGTGCCACTAGTGGAACTGAGCTCCCTCTAGTGGTACGCGGAGGAATGTCCAAATATTTAAAAAAGAATTTAATAAATTAATTGAAATATATATAATTCTATGAAAATACTACAATTTTAACAAAAATACTTAAACTGTGAGATCCTATGAGAAAACAACTTTTGCCTTTCCTGCAATACTCTTGTTTGGATGTTAACCTGCTATTTCTTCACGTTCATGAACGTAGCGCACATACGTCCATGACAAGTTACGAGCTAAACTGTGAGGCCAAGACATTAAGCGGAGATAAAACAAATTGGTTTAACACTTTGAAACCCGCGTAAATTGGCTTGATTTCTTTAAAAAACATGGGAAGAAGGCAATGAGCAGCAAAAGAAAAAATGGCCCCAAAAAATTAGCAAGCAAAACAAACAAACAACAAACAAAACAAGAAAAAACAAACAAGAAAACTACCTGGAAAGAGTGCTTAAAAACTATAATAATTCTGTAACAAAACTTTAAAATGTAATAATAATTATTATTATGAATATAATTTTTCCATATTTTTAAAAAATTTCTATTATTTTTCTTGCAATTTTTGAGACATATTTTACCGAGTTGCTCATTGCCTTTTCCACCATGTTTTTGAAAGAAATCGCATCAATTTGCTCAAGGTTCAAATGTTTAAATACTTGTGAAACGCATCTGAAAGCAGCACAAGAACAGTGATGTTGTTCCAAGTGTTAAAAACACTGTAATCAATGAATAAACCTGCCTCCTGCGTGAACTGTAGGTTACTGAATACCGCAAGCCTGAGCTACTGTAATTTAATGTTGGTCATAGCGCTTGTACATGGAGAACCTAATATTTTCTGAGGTGGTACTGGGTGTAAAAAGCTTGAGAACCACTGCTGTAGTGCATCTCCTTCCTTCGGTCTGTGGCTCTGGGGTGATTGGTTCCTACTTGGGACATAACTTTTTAAAAGTGGGTCACAAATATATAGTTTCTTTTTATGTTTTTTTTTTTTTTAAATGTTTTTGATTGATACACTCGTGTTTTAAATATTTCTGGACAACACTGGGGCTCTTTGGCACAAAGGTGTAATGACAATACAAAAAAAATTACAGAATATCACCACATGTATCCTTTAAATGAGTTTCTGTAGTGCACAAACAGATACTTTATCTTGTGTCAAGACAAGCAGCATGTTTCCAAGTGCTCTTTGCCTTCACCATGTAGGTGAACGTGTCAGCAGTATATGACAGTTTGCACACAACACTCAGGCAAGGTTTACAATCCTAAAGAGGACAGGCACCACACAGACACAACTAAAACCAACAACACTGTAGACAATGTAACGGTAAGGCAGCTCCACTTTCATGTGCTGCCTTGCCTGCCTTACGTCATCTGAAGGCAGCCCAAACAGTCGACATAAGAACGGAATGGTCACCGCTTTCATGACCATTCTCGTGACCAGGATGACGGCGACTCCGATGACAAAGCGCAACAGGGAGCGAAACACCATGCCGACGCTGATTGGTGGTAAAGTTAGAGGAAGTGAGGACAGTGGTGGATCCAACAGCAGCCCTAACTGATAGTTCACATGGGTAGCGATAGCAGCTCCCACCCCGGTGCCCAGAGCTTGAGCTGTATCGCCCCGGGAGGTGCTCCAGGAATCCAGGGAGAAAGCCACAAGTCCCAGGCTCACGTGTGACACGATAATCACGAGTGGAGCAAAGTGGTCTGTCATGTAGAAGGTGTCGATCTTGTCCAAAATTGGCTGGAAAAACGCTAAAATAAGAAGGCTGTACAGGAAGCCAGTGATTACCTCCTGCAACACAGGGACATAAAGCATTATAAACCATGCGTGTACGCCATGAAAGCTAAAAAGTTTAACTCATATCTGCACTCTAAAGAAACTTGCTTGATATACTGGAAGTCTTTTAAAGCTCATTTATGATTCATTGTGTTTTAATGGCAGACCTAACGCGAGACGTTAAAATCAACATACATTACGGCATTCTTTACATCAGTGCCAACAAACTAATGTAATGCACACAAAGTCCAAGCTCTTTCAGCATCAGTTTCTTCATCATCAAATGAACATAAAAATCAGGTGAGCAGCTGACTGATAAACAGGTGTTACTGTTGTTACACACATAAACACAAACAATATCCACTGACGTCAGCTGCCTGACCAATCTAATCTAGCTTTATCTCCTGGCTTTGATTTTTTTTTTTTATTGGCGTTGCATAATAGTCCCACAAATGATAAATCTCTAGGTCATGTGTTTGTTTTAAACATGTAAAATGGGGCATGAGCGTATGTCATGCATATTAAGGTTGTGCAGTGATGTTAAAATATGTTAAAAATTAAATCATCTGTCTACCTACAGAAATGTAAAATATTCACAGGTGATTTGAACAGACAGAGCTGAGGAAGACACCAGTGCTTCCATCCTGAGCTGAACTATAGGTGTAAGTCAAGGTAAAGTGTTCAGGTGGGGAAGCTTCACTCTATATTCTCTGGTTAATTCATATTTCAGTGAGGGATTATTCATTTAATATACGTACCAGAATAGAATGCATTCCCATGTAGACTCTGCTTACACAGACCAGGATACTCCAGCTGAGAGCCACACCAAAGCCAAAGAGGAAGGGGTACTAGGAGAGAGAGAGACATAAAGACATGACATTAAGAAAATGAACACTGATGTTACAAAGTTGGCTTTAGAAAAACCACAGAAGACATTCAGCTGATATCTGTGAAACAATTTCATGCAAACAAGGATCTTCATCCCTGCTAGCGGCTCTGTGAGGCTGTGCTTAGTGGTGCTTTAAGCTAAATGCTAACATTAGCATGCTGATTACAGTGATCACAGTTCATTGTAAGAAAACATGAATGTCTGGAGCAAACGACATGGCAACCCATCCAATAGGTGTTGAGATATTTGAGTCTGGTTGACCGCTAACACAGCTAACAAATGAGTCTTGTAACACCATTAGAGGGACAGTTCACCCCAAAATAAAAAGTATATATTTTCCCTCTTACCTGTAGTGCTGTTTATCTATTTAGATTGTTTTGGTGTTGGAGATATCGGCCGTAGAGATGTCTGCTTTCTCTTGAATATAATGGAACCAGATGGCACTCAGACTGTGGTGCTCAAAGTGCCAAAAAATAAATTTGAAAAACTCAACAACAATGTCTCTTTCCAGAAATCATGACCTGGTTACTCAAGATAATCCACAGACCTTGTTGTGAGCAGTTTCATGTAGGAACTATTTTCTTCCTACCGAACTACACCCCCCAACCGTATCACTGCGCAGAAGGATGTGTGCATCTACTGCTAGCTAACCTAGCACCACTGAGCTAGCTATCTTAGGAGGACGCCATTAATCTTTACATCACGTGGTATCACAAGGCTCTTGTCCCTGAGTAGATGCACACTTCCTTCTGCACAGTGATATGATTGGTGGGTGTAGTTTGAAAGTTGCTTCTACATGAAAATGCTCACAACAAGATCTGTGGATTATCTTGAGTAACTGGGTCATGATTTCTGGAAAGAGACATTGCTGTTGAGTTTTATAAATGATTTTTTTTTTTTTTTTTTTGGAAGAAAAAATGAACTTCAGGCACCTTTCTTCCCATGTGTTGACCCTCTTCTTTAAGAGCACCTGCATTTTTTCTTGAGTTTCATATGATAAAGACATTCCTCAAACACACCACTACCTCATTCTCCAAAGTGTATTTTTTTGTTTTTGCGCTTGGAAACACCATAACTCCAACACTCAGCAACTCACACTAGAACAATCCGGACCAATAAACAGCACTACATGTAACAGGAGAAATATGTATTTTTGATTTGGGGCGAGATGTCCCTTTAAGTCCAGACTGCCTGCATTCAGTTTAAAGCCTGTGTGCGGGTGTACAACAACAAAAAAGGGCATATGAGGTTCTTAGCTCTTCCTTCCTGGTGGCGACGCCTTAAAAGGGCTCTACAATCTACACTTAAAAAGTCAAACTAAAAAAAAGCTTTTGAGAAATAACATTAATTCATCTCTTTAACATTAAACATGCAGTGCACAGCATGCAGGGACAAGCTGATTTTAACAGAGATAACTAAAGAATTTTGAAACACAGGATGTACAGTACATGACATTACACAAAGGACAGGAATGCATTGTGAGTCATCACAATACATAACTATAGAGGCTTTCACTTACGGTTAAGGTTAGGTAGTATAACTTAAGTTACTAAAGTTATCGATGACGTCAACTCGAAAGATTGGGATGGAGGTTAATGCCTCACAAGTGATCTTAGAGCAGAGAGTGCAGAGGGCACACAAACCCGACATCAGCCAAGTTTTATTTTGGCCTGCTGTCAAGTTAGTCATGGAATTAACATATAAGTCCTATCAGTGGGTGGAAAACTTTCATGGCTTTGAGCTCTCTGACCTGGCTGATACTGAACTACAGTACACTCTTTTCTCCCCGAGCTCAAAGGCGGTGAAACAACCCTCCCAACCCCGTCCTCCATCTTAACCTGAAAAGACACAGGAACAATTGTGTCCTCTCATCCCTGACTGTCTTCTTGTTCATTTGAATTGCTGCTACTTTAGACCAAAATGTTTGCTGAGACTTGATACTTTCACTTTGATGCAATCACTGGTCCCTTCTCTCTCTCTATAGCATTGTAAAACAGTGGAGTCTTCAGAGTCTTTCTTTATCTCAAATGCAAAGCTACCTCTTTTCACTCCTCACCTGCGCTTCACTGACTCACCCTGTCATGTTTTAACGGTCTGCTTAAACAGAGGAATGTTTGTTGTCTCCATACGAGACTGTGCAACAAAGATTAAACGTGATTAAAAGGCAGTCTGTGCTTTTTTTGTTCCTTTGGCCGGACTGACCCACTGACCCTCCTCAGCACTGGGGGGGCTTTGGAGAAAAATGTCATGTGGAGCTTATTGTATTCTACTCGGTCAGGGCACGTGCCATGTGTGCTTCTTGAACCCTGGTCTTATTTACTTAGATTTTATCTGAACAAACAGACACATAGAGATTCCAACTGTCTCAACATCTTAAACTGCGCTCTCTGGGCCTTTGAACATGTGGGACTTTGGTGCATCTGGCCACCTCATCTGTGGATTATCAAAACGTGTTAGTATACCATGGGTCAAGGCCTGATGTAGCGATAAGAAGGAGCATAACATTGGCGTAGCATTGAGATATTGGTAAATTTAGATATATATGGCTGCAGCTTGGTTTTCCATAACATTTTCAGCTCCACACTGAGCCCTACTTAATCCCCCGGTCCTTCCACTCTTTTTGCATAATGTATACATTCTGTTGCATTTAAGTACCCATTAGATCAGCTGGAATGCTCCCCTGGTGTGCAATGCGTTAGTTACTTTGTGTAATTGAACACACATGATCTATGTGAGCATAACATTAACTGAAAAAAAAAAAGGTATCAAAACTACACTTTGACATAAAACAGGACATAATGGGTAAATGGGTTTCCAACATGGCACTAACATAATGAAATACTTTCACATTTTAGGGAAATAAAACACAAACCTTCAGGGAAAATAAGCATAAGTGCTATCTCACACATGAAAGGCCATGTGTTTTACAAGTGTGATTATTGTTCAGGCAGTCGAATTTGTTGGGATATGAGATGAACAAGAATCTGGGTAGCTGACCACCTTGCCTGAAACATTTCCTGACGGAAATCCTGTAGTTTATATTGTGTTCCAGTACTTTAAAAGTAAGTTGGGGCTGCAACTACAGAATAGTTACAACAACACCCTTTCTTAAATCCCAGGTTGACGTATTTAAATTGCTTGTTTTGTCCTCTCAGATGTAGAAAACTCAAACATATTTAGATTCATATCATAATAGACAGAGAAAAGCAGAAGCCATACCAACGTGATTTCTATCCAAAAATAATCAAGATGCATCCTGGATATTTTTGCTTTAAAACAATAGTAAAAGGAATACTTCACCCATAAAATGAGCATTTATATATGAGTTAGTCGTGCCATATTACCTATAGTTTGTGAAGAAAACTTTGTTTTTCCTGCAAGAAAAACAGTGAACATACTGATTTATTGATTGGGGACCATGTTTAACAACAGCAAAACTACATCATTATAACATCCATTTAGAAACTCTTCCACAACTTTTGCAGGATAATCCAAGTCTCGTTTATCCAGTCATATGCTCAGCACTTCCTACACATGCTTAAAACTGAAGTGAAAGTGCTTATTAATGCTCTCTTCAAAGCCAGAGTCTGATAATGGTGAAAATGCATGTGTTTGGGAAGTTCTGAGCATATGAGTGAATAAATGAGACTTGGATTATGCTGCAGAAGTTGTGTAAGAGTTTGTAAACAGATGTTTTGACATAGTTTAGCTGTTGTCAAACGTGATCCCTGGTTGACCAATAAATTATTGTTACCTATTTTCTCTGGAGGCATGCAAGGAAAACAAAGCTTGCTTCACAAATTCAAGGAAATATGGCATGACTATTTAATTAACAAATGGTCATTCTGTGAGTCAATGTATTCCTCTAAAGGAGTAATTTATTATCAAAAGTTTCTGTAAACTGACAAACCATTTAACTCACCAATCATTTCACCTCTAAAGCAAACCATTACCCATCACTATACAGTTCATCAAAATACAGCAACTTGTCAAACAGTTAACCTGGAGCCCTTGGGGCCCCTGAGGTAGTTGACCCCTTCACCCTGTACCAATCCAGCCCTGGCTGGACTCAAGCTGCACATTCCTACATAAACTGCATGTCTTCTGTCTACAGCTGCTACATTTAAATTTTTTGTTTTCACCTATATTTGACATTTTGGGCTGTGTGGGGCTCACCTGCCACCGTCCATATGTCAGCATGAAGAGACAGAAGGGTATGGCTGTCCCTGTCATGGCGTGTGTGGACGGCATGCTGTACTCGGAGTTGTAGAAGACCTCCACCTTCACCACAGGGGGGGAGGCAGGCCGGGACCAGCGGATCATATCCTTGGTGGACTGTCCCACGAACAGGTTCCAGGCCCAGACCACGATGAGTCTCCGGCTGACCAGCGCGTCGATGTTCCAGAAGAGGAAGGGGAAGAAGACGATGAAGAACATCTCGTTGCCAAGCTCAGTCCCAAACGTGAACAGGTAGAACAGAAACTTGTTGTGGATCAGGAACTCCTGACCCACATCCCCGGTCAGGGAGTTTCTCCGGAGGGGTTTAGCTCTGACTGTGTCTGGGTCAACATTAGCTGCAGCTGATGGACCATCAGGCCTGGCGGTACTGTCACCCTGCATCCCGTTAACCTGCGCTGCGGTCGCATCCCCGGCTGCTCCATTCACAACACTAACGTCCGAGCTCTGTCCCCCCTGTTGCACCCTCTTTCTCACTCCGGGACAGTCCGGCTCCGACTCTCCGCTATCCGTCGGTTTAACCGGAAATGTCCCTTTAACGCCGCAAATATTTTGAAACCTCGCTACATGGCGCGGGTCCTGGAGGTAATTACACATCTGTACAAAAGTCTTTACAAAGTCGGTCGCCATGATGTAAAATAACTGCTAGCTTAAAATCCACAACACTGTTTCGCCGTAAAAATGGAGTTCATGTTCATCGAGTGGGCTTAAGGAGAAGTGGCGCTCGGTGGCCGTTGCATTCCTCTTAACGAGATAAAATAACAGTGATTTAGCTAACAGCTCGGAGCGGCTCCTCTTCAACACTAGCGGTTACCTGGAAGCCACATTCAAAACACAGACCTTATACACCGGTGTAGACGGCAGCATCCAAAGTCCGTTACAGTTAACCATTACTCTAAACTACGGTTTATCCTAATTCATACCGCCACCAACTAACTGCGTCAGGCCGTTATTCTCGTTTTCACTCTCTTCCTCTTCTTCTACAGTTCGTTTTCTTCTTCGCTGGACTTAATGTTAGTCGGTCAATATACAAAATGTCCAAGTGCTACCCCTGCTGGACTTGTGAGGAACTACATCTATTAAAAATCCAATATTACATCAAAAATATTTTAAATTCAAAATAAAAATAAATACATTTCACTGTAGCTTGTTAGTAATTTAACTACATTCATATTTGCATCATAATTCATGTAGATAAATTACGTTTTTTGTTGCAATTTTTGTGTAGTTAACTATTAAAACCACAAACACTTTTGGGCCATCAAAGGAAAGGAATGTTGTTGTTTTTTTATTTTACCGTTGCTTCTCTACTGTAACGGACCCCCTTTAACAACAATTAGCCATAGGCATTGGTTATTGCTATTTATTGACAAATGTTCAGCAAAATTGTTGCACGCTATTTTAGACACTACCTGGCTAACTGAGTCAGGAACATCATATTGTCAAGAGCTTTTAATCCTTAGGAAAATAACAATACATTTAATTAATGATGTCTAATTATTTCTTTCTTTCTTTTTCTTTTTAATTATTTTCCACTGTGTTCTATGTATTTCTTGTTGTTTTTTTTATTGGATCATTTTTCACTGACTGCTCAGTGTGCCTACTGTTGTCATTTATCTTTTGTTGTATTTTCCTGTATAATGTTAATTTAGTTATTTTGTCTACTTTTCTCCCCTTTTTTGTCATTGTCTGTTTTTCCCTTTAAGTTGGGGGGAGGTCCGTTTATATAAGCATGTGGCTTTTTGAGCCCTCCTGACACATTTCTTCTTCTTTTTTTTAAATTCTTTTTTACTACTTGGATTTTATGCAGTTTTATGTGTGTGCAAATAAAATAATAATATATATAAAAATAACTGAGTCATTGTGCTTGTGCTCTAGTTTCTGGAGGGAAGGTGTTTGACTGATGGACTTTGTGTACAAAACCAGGGCTGACTTTCCCATGAATCATGGTTTTGTTTTTGTTTAGTTTTTTGTATATGTATGACCTGTGAAGATGTGGCCACCTTTTGCAATAAACTCAATTAAATACCATTAACATGTTGATTTTTTTAATAATATTTGTTATACCTTTGTATCACATGTATTTCATCATTTTTACAAAGTAGTGTCTGCTACTATTTCAAAGTAGCTTTAGTTAACCAAACTAGAGTTCTTCCTTTGTTGTAGTTTAAATTCTGACGATGTGACTTAATTGGTAGCATGTAAAGCAGCGATTTAGCTTCCACAACACTATATAAGCAGTTACCTGTTCAAGGTGGAGTCAATTCAACTACTGTAAACAGGCCTACTGTTGTGTAGTTTTATTGTTATTAATTGTGTAGTTAATCTATAACAAGGCATTAGGCCTATATTTTATAAACTGATCATATTTTTATATGTAACATCTTCATACACAAAGTAAATAAATCTAGATGCCACATTCATGTAGTAGTAAAAAGTATAATATTTATCTTTGTAATTTAGTGTAGAAATAATAATCAAGTAACTACTCAACTATAGTACTTGTAAATGTTCCTGATTATTTTCTGAAAAAGTCAAATTATATTTAAAAAATTTCAAAATACCATTGGTACTATTGATACTGTTCTGGTCTACATATGTGTATTCCCCGTGCTCTTTTAATGTATGGATTTTGTGCAGACATACAAGGTGTACTATGGGAAATGACATCACTTGTGTAGATGTATTTACTATTGTTGAATATGAGCACGAGAAAACCTACAATAGGGTTAAGTATGTGACTTTTAATGCAAATATCTCCTCTGTATTGTATATTATGTTCTGTGTTTTGTGTCTTTGTATTATATGTTGAATAAATGATAAGTTAAAAAAAATCAAATACAGTTTTAATCCATTTTAATACAGATAGCCTATTTTTCCTACCATAATTACAAACATTTTTAGTTACATTTAAAAACTTTTTGTCACATATTATTAATTATGAGTAGTGACACTATGACTCATGAGGTAATATATAAATGTCTAATACATACAAATAAATCTCCAACTCATCACCCAAATCAAAAGCAAAAATGAAATTTAAGTTCATAGCAAAATATAATAGATATTCCAGGTTAGTGCACACACAGGTCTGACAAGTCAGAGACATTTATACCAGAATATCACCGGATTGTTCCTTCAAAATAAAAGCAATCAAATGTATTTTTAATTTCCCATAAAGGCTGATGTGAATTTTTAAGTAATATGTGTTGGCTACTATTTACATCTGAAGACTGATTTTCATGTAGTAGATAAAGATCCATCTAGCTTATCTACTGCATTTTATTTTCTTCTATATAGTAGTGATTGTGACTGAGCTTATTCTGGGATTCATTTGCTGTAAATCAACGTTGCTGTAGATGTCATAAGCAGTTTGGGAATAATGAAGATAATTTAAATCAGATTCTACATTAAACAGTCTTACAATTTTATCTACAACTGAAAAAAAAAGCCACATTCGGTACCGATGCTTTTATTTTATAACCTCAGCCCGGAAGTACCTCGCACTATACTGGTTACCTTGACTCCTGTGGTCCTCGCTCCGGTCTGGCAGACAGCTGAGGCGGGTATTTATCATCAGCACGACCACGGAGCGGCTGTGAGACTCATAATGCATGGGGGCAAGAGAGGACTGGTGGCTCCGCAGAACACCTTTCTGGAAAACATCGTCCGGCGCTCCAGCGGTGAGTTTTACTCTGAAAGGGACAACTAATATTAATGGATGTTGATTTGGGCACGTCAATCAAGGTACCACTCAGGGGCTGCATGGGATGCTCAAGTAAAACTGTCATGTTATTTCAGTTATTTAATGTAAAAAATCTCTCACAATTTACACTTTTTTTTTTACAACTACATAACAATTTAATATGAATTATGCAACTCTTATGTCCCGATTCCCTGAATTGATTAGATGAATCACTATAATAGCCTATTCTTATAGACTTTATTATGTCCTTATATCTAAATATCATCATCATGAGCTACAGAAACAGCCTCACTGGTCTGTCTACGGAGAAAATACTTTGTTAATGTGATTTAGGTGAGAACGGAGACATGTTTTAATGCTAAACCTATTATATATGATGATATAGGCCCAATATTTTTAATAAGATGTTAATTCTTTTTGTTGAATCATTATCAGAAACTTGATTTTTAAAATGCCAACACTCATATGAACACAAACAGAGAGACAGTAAAAATTAATCATTATTATTATTATTATTATTTTTTAAGGGTGTTTAATCATATTGTCTTATGGTATTTTATCTATTTTAATGCCTTTGTCTCTTTAAATTCTGTATTGTTTGGTGGTAATATATGTTAGTGTTTGTTGTTTATATTGCGAAAAGGCAATACTATTATTAAAAATTCATTTTTTGGATTGACAGTCTGCCTGGCAGCTAATAGCCTCCCCATGAGAGTGAGGCTGAGTGTTTGTGAAACTGATGGTTTTCATTACAAGTACAGGAGAAGTGCACAGTGTCAGACAAACAGTGGTGTACAGAAAAATAATGCAACGTGAAACATGTCACCTCTGTTAATATTTTAGTAGAATTTAGTCTGTGACAATACTCTGAAATGCAGTCATTATTGTCTTTATCTATGGACGCATCTGTTGCAACATTAACCCATTTGACATTCAAGTGTTAAATTCAAGATAAACATGCTGATGCTTGAAGTCTGACTGTAACTCACAGAAAATGTCCTCTGTCTCTTCCCCTCAAGACGGCAGCTCCCTCCGAACCATGTACAACTTTGCAGCTCCCTCATCAATATTTGATTCACATTAAGGCTGGAACATAAACATTTTATCAACAACTATTTCTGCCCAGTGACTCGTCTGATTAGCAGTGTTTATTGCTGCTTGAAATATTCATGATCTCGTTTCCAGTACGTATGTTTGTTAAAATAATATTAGGAGTGGGAGAGTTGGTGTTACAGTGATTTAGTTAATTGCAACATTTCATGTACAGGGTAAAGACCCCAAAGGTTGACCAGCAGGTGCACTCTAGTCTGCAGGTGTGTTGTTTGTAGTGACGAGTTTTAGACTCTGTTTTGTTGCAGAAACCAGTTTCCTGTTGGGAAATGCACAGATCCTGGAGTGGCCGGTCGTTTACAGCAACGATGGATTCTGCAAACTGTCCGGATATCACAGAGCTGAAGTCATGCACAGGAGTAGCTCATGCAAGTAAGATATTGTTGTTGTTTTTTGTAATCTAATGGCATGAATGTGAAGACACAGAGGGTGATTTGTATTTTAACAAATATATGTTGGTTGGCTTCATATAGTCTAATGCTGCAGGTGTTGGTCTTGCGTCTATAATGTTGATACTTGAAGTTCTTGACTGACGAAGCCTCTGTAAGTGAACGTAGCACAAATTGGATTATGCAGATGTTTTATGTTTTTCACGTTGAATCTCAGCCTTTATTTGGTGAACATGGATTTTATCATATTAGTTTATTTGATAGGGACTGTGCTCACTGATCAACAGTACGAAAGAAACTGTAAATGAACCATGGTTTCATCACAAAGGCTAATTTTCATCTGTTGTCCATCTACAGATGTTAGAACGGCACCCTAAAATCTGATCAAATCTTGAGACATACATTAGGCCTGAGCAGTGTTAAGGTATTACTTTACAGCAGGGTATTTAGAAATCCCATTTCAATACCGTCAAAAATACAGATGCTCCTCTTTCTTCTAAACGATGCAGAGATGCTGCACTGACGTGATGTAGTGCACGGCACGAACCACTAGAGGTCAGTCTTTACTGGTGAAACAGGCAGCTGAACTCAGAAAGATGATGATTGTGAGTGGTGGGGATAATGTTAAAGGGCTATAAGGAAAAATGCATTTGCCCCTGTAGTGGAGTATTGCCACATATAACTTTTTTGACATGACTTCTTCCAACTACAAAAGTAGTTTATTCGCCACATAATTTTATTCAACACATCATCTCTGTTTAGCCCACTGATGTGTCAGTATCCACCGCAACAACAAATGTCATCGGGTCCTCCAGCAACAAGGGAGCTACCTTCCTATCTTTTCGTTATTCTATGGTCCTTACATATTTAATTCCAGAAAGACTTGTCTAAGTAGGCTAACTGCATAATAGATTCACAGCACTGTAGGCTAGACCAGTGGTTCCCAGCTGGTGGGTCACGGGTCCATTCTAAATGGACCGCGAGTGACTCGCGAATGTGTCAAGTTTGTAAAAAACAAAAAAACAAACAAAAAAAAAAACACTATGTTTTTGAAATGCAGTGAATATCTGGCACAGGCCTTTATTCTGAAGTGTCATTTCCTGCTCTAGAGTGACTGAACAACAGATAGCTAATAAACAGATACAGGAAACTAGCTGGACAACGTGGCCAAACACTAGTATGATGCTCCACATATAACTGTGTGAACCTTGAATTAATGACTATGGAGCAATCTGGACCCCATGGCTGGACCAGCTGGGAACCACTGGGCTAGACAATGACATACATGCAACAACAATGTACTGTATATCATCAGCTACTCAGCTTTTTTGTTTTTATTATTTTTAAATAAATACCGTCATATACCGTATACCCTGGTGAAATGTCAGGAAGGTCTGAAGATATGACAAAATATATACCTCCCAAGCCTATTATATAATAATAGAGCCCGGTCTCATTCAGAAGTCATCGAATTCCAGCGCTTGGGCAGTGACTTGTGGCGTCAGAAACCAACGAAAAAAGGTGTCCTATAACATCGGCCGCAGTGTCAGAGAGAAATGTGGCGGGACAAGAATGAAAGTAAAGGCGGTGAAGTCTGACTAGGGCGGGCAGGACAGGTGGTGGATAGGTCCAACAACCACTGATTTTCACCTGGGAAAGCTGTGCTTACGTCCTGTAAGATTCTAAAGCCAAACCCTGTTCTTTTTTCCTAAACCTAACCATGTGTTTTGTTATCGAAGGAAAAAGACGTTAATTTGCGGTGTTGTACCAACATAGTGCATTTATTTTGAAAGAGACTGTATGTAAACATTTAATTTCCTGTGAACAGAAGTGTATTTTGACAGAAGACAATGCATGTAACAGGCAGAACTTGACACGGCATCCCAGAACGTCAACAACCAAAGCAACCAGGGTACCTTTCACATCTTATGTGGACGTGGAAAGCCCATGACCAAATGTCAACATGTGACGAGGTCAGAGTGAGAATGTGTTGAATAATATATAGCAGAAAGGTCTACTTATTCAATATGGAAGTGGTAAAATCTGACAAACAGAGAACCAAAAATAAAATACAACTTGACCTTGTTGTTATTGCTACAAAATGTGACCACTGATTTGCAGCAGCTACAGTGTAGATTAAAAGAAGTATTCAGTCCACTGTAGTCCTGTCTTTAATCCCTTGTTCTTTCTTTCCCCATGATCGGCTCCCTATTACTTTGTTCTTTCTCCCTTCTTTTGCAGTTTCATGTACGGTGACCTGACCGATAAGAAGACTATCGACAAAATCAGAAAGACCTTTGACAACTATGAGTCCAATTTCTTTGAAGTGCTGCTCTACACAAAGAACAGTAAGTATCACTATGAGACCTAAGGTTTTATTGCAACATTTACTCCTAAAGTCCCATCTGTTCAGGTGCCATTTTCCATTTGTTTCCATCTCTGTTATAACTCTCACTTGAAATGTTTCCTACAGGAACACCCATATGGCTCTACATGCAGGTAGCTCCGATCAGGAATGAGAATGACAAGGTGGTGCTTTTCCTCTGTACCTTCAGAGACATTACACTCTTCAAACAGCCAATTGAAGATGAAGCAACTAAAGGTGAGGCAGTTCATGTTTTTGGATCTGCCTTCAGTATTTGCAGCGATGATTAACTGCTGAAGCGGCATTTCCCTTTGTTTTTCCACACACTAAAAGGGTGAGAACACACATCAAATTCAGATGAAATGATTGTCAAGTAAATGTCTCAGTAAAACCCAGCCATTGTTCTCAAAGCTCAGTTTTACCCAATAAGACCACGGAGGGGGCAACACAGCCGACAGTCTTAACTACACGAGTGGCTGTGACTTAACAGACGTTTGTTTCCTGCTATGTTACATACAACTGTCCAGGTGTTGTGTGTGCGGGTCAGTGAACACTGGTCTCTGTGGGTGCCATGTCCCAGGGGATTAAGTGTGCCACTAAGACAGTTACATACATCAAACTGAAACAAAGGACACATGGGGATGGTGAATGTATGAAAATACTGATTATTCACTGAGAGTGAATAATAATCTGTCTGTTTTAACACAGATTTACCAGCTGACAAAATTTAACTAGTTGTACAGTGAAGATTTAAACACCATCATGCCCTAATCAGCATACAGTACGTGCTGTCACACTGTCACTATCACTGGGTCGCTGAATCAAAACATACACAGTAATTCCACATTTTTCTTCCTTCCTTTCTTTTCTTTTCTTTGCTGTATGAACCTAATTAATAACCCATTAATATTCCATCTTAAATCACTTACCATGGCAAAATATCTCAAGACTCTTAATAGCATCGAGTAGTATCCTTCCAGTCCGAGGTACAGTACAATTTGGATCCATCCTCTAGCCACCACAATCAAGGAAACGCTCAATGCTTTCCTGAGTTCAACTGTACGGTACACAACTAATAGCATCCATTAAGCCAAAGACAGCAAGGCTCAGCATCAGTAGAAAGGAAATTCAGCTTTCCACCTGAGGTGAAGGAGATAGAGGGGACCGTGATAAGTTAAGCCTAAAAGTGGAAAAGAGATTTAAGAATGAAAGACCAAAGTTGACAGTTTCAATTTGTGATCTACGTTACAAACTTTTTTTGAGCGTAGAAATTCTTCTATTTTTTGCTTTATTTCCTTAAACCATAACCCAATAGGAATATGTGATTAGTGTAGGGTGGATTTTCCCATTAAACACTGTCAACATTGGTCATTGTTTCCTTCGTTTCTTCATAGACATGCAGGTAGTCTGCCAGGATGATGCATTCATGCGCAAATGGTCTCAAAATGTTTTCTTCACAAATAGAATGAATGGTGGATTGCCCCCTCTGGGTTGGGAGTGAATACTGCCCCAAGCGAGGGATTTCAAGTAGGGGTCTTGTTCCCGAGCGAGGGTAGAATGGAGAGTGAAATGGATCGGCAGTTTGGTGTGGTGTCTGCAGTGATGCGATCGCGGTGCCAGCCCGTTGTGGTGAAGAGAGAGCTGAGCCAGAAGGCAAAGCTTTTGATCTACTGGTCCATCTATGTCCCAACCCTCAACTATGGTCATGAGCTCTGGGTAGTGACTGACAGAGTTTGAAATGAGTTTCCTCCAAAGTGGCTGGGCTCAGCCTTAGAGATAGGGTCAGGAGCTCAGGCATCTGGAGGGAGCTCGGAGTAGAGCCGCTGCTCCTTAGCGTTGAAAGGGGTCAGTTGAGGTGATTCGGGCATCTGATCAGGATGCCTCCTGGGCGTGTCCCGTTAGAGGTGTTCCAGGGACTTTCCACTGGTAGGAGGCCCTGGGGTAGTCCCAGAACATGCTGGAGATATTACCTTTCTCGTCTGGCGTGGGAATGCCTCAGGATCCCCCAGGAGGAGCTAGAAAGTGTTCCTGGGGAGAGGGACGTCTGGAATGCTTTGCTTGGCCTGCTGCCCGTTACCCGGCTTCGGATAAGCGGTTGAAAATGGATGGATGAAGTGGATGAACATTTATTGCTATTGGTGATTTTACAAAGTTACTGTTCAACATTGTTGACTACCACAGAGAAAACTTTGTTTTTCTCGCATGCCTTCACAGTGATCAAAGAATCTGAAAACTGAGAAAATTCTTGATGAATTGGAGTGGCAGTGTTTACATTAGCAAAACTCTAGCAAAACTTCTGTTTACAAACTCTCACAGAACTTCTGTAGTATAATCTAATTATAATTTATTCAGTTGTATGCTCAGGTCTTCCCAAACACATGCATTTTTGCAGAGTTGTGACATAATTTACTAACTAATGGAGTTAGTAATTAATGTATAAAGGATAATTTTTGTATGTGGAGTATTCCTTTAAATACGGGAGATTTAAAAAATGTTTGTCTTTTTGTCTTTGAGAAGGATGGCCGAAGTTTGCCAGACTGACACGGGCGCTGACCACCAATCGCAACCTGGTGCAGCAGATAGCACCGCTGAGCAAGACTGAGGTCAGCCATAAGCCCTCCAGACTGGCTGAGGTGAGCAGTGTCCAGGGGTAAAAGAACAGTTTGCTTTCTAGTGCCAATACATATACTTAAAAGCACCTCAAGCTCAATCAAGAAAGTGCCTTAAAGATAGAAGATCTAGGGTCTGTAAAAGAATGATAATTCTTCCAATCAAGAAATTAATTTACTACCAAATTTAAAGGAAATTTTTTTTACATACATTTCTAAGGATTAACTGCCACAGCTAAATGGATTAACAATGACTGTTTCTTGATGCACCACACACATGATTCTGTACTCATGATGGTAAGTGTTCTCTCTGAATTTTAGGCTCTCCAGCTGGGATCAGACATCCTCCCTCAGTACAAACAGGAGGCCCCTAAGACCCCTCCACACATCATCCTCCACTACTGCACCTTCAAGACCACCTGGGACTGGGTCATCCTCATCCTCACCTTCTACACCGCCATCATGGTGCCCTATAACGTCTCCTTCAAGACAAAGCAAAACAATTTAGCTTGGCTGGTGGTGGACAGTGTCGTGGACGTCATCTTCCTGATCGACATTGTACTTAACTTCCACACCACCTTTGTGGGTCCTGCTGGAGAGGTCATTTCAGACGCCAAGCTCATACGAATGAACTACCTGAAGACGTGGTTCGTCATCGACCTACTGTCCTGTCTGCCCTACGACATCATCAATGCCTTTGAACATGTGAATGAGGTGAGTTTTACTAATTCATTGCTAAAATGGCTGATGTGTTGGTATTAAACGCTGCACATTAACATCATAACATTTCTAACTGACTGTTTCTATGAAGGATGTCGTCACATCTGCTTCTCGATCAAGTCATCTCCACGAGTCTTCAGTTTTCCACAGGAATACCACACGAACAGAGGACTCTGTACTCCCAGTAAGGAAATCCATGTTTTTCTTTAAAAGCTGCCAAATCAATATATTTTTATGTTAACAGTGGATCAAATGAATACATGTAACGAGAAGTTAGCAATTAACTGGGGAACATAGCAGAGCGGATCAGAGGAACCAGTGTTTTAATTTTACTGTAAAGGCTGTTACACATGGGAGAGTTTTTCTTGTGCAACTAATATGCACATTCATATATTTTTTCTGAACTGTTGTTCTTTTGTTTGTATTTTCGTAAGGAGGTTGGTTTTCCTGAGCTTTCACACCTCTTACAATAAAAGCCGTAAACATATACACTGCATAACTGTCTACCAGAGGGAATTCACGATAAAATAACTTACAGTAGCTTACAGATGCTGGTCTGGGTCAATGGGATCCCAGTAGTTGTCACTGATTTGCATTGTTGACGCTGAATAGTTTTCATGTGAAACATTGGCAGCTGAGTATTTTGCATTTTCATGTCATTTATTTGTCAAGCCCCAGTGTGAAAAGACCCAAACACACTGAACTGACATCAAAGAACAAATGGCGACAAAAGCTGACTGTTGCATTGCCTCGAGTCACCTGTTTCTCGGCCAAAAAGTTGCATGTGACATATTGCTTAATGTTCTCCACCCCCTAAAATACAGGTAGTTTTAATGGGAAGTTAGAAATATGACAGTAAACAGTATTAAGACAGAGTAGATTGTTTTTAAGTGTTATACAACATGCTTAAGTCAAAACTGAATTTTCAAAATCTGTGTTTGAAGGATATATCCAGGATGTCAAACTGACTCAGCAGCAACAACAGGTTAAAAAGACAAAGATAGTTAGAAGCTAAAGCCGAACTATAGGCTACAGATCACAGTGTAAAAGTGAACCACCACATCACTGCTTATCGCCACAGAAGACGATGAATATAAAGGGAAACTTTGCTGATATTGAACCAGCTGTGTGGCATCGCAGTGTGTGCAGATGAATGGTGTTTGGCTTCGGCCCCGTGCTGCTGCCAGCATCCAGACCTCAGCCGTTGGACCGGCAGGGATCTCTGGGGAAGTCAAACAATGTAAATCTGCTGGTTGAATATCAGCAAAGTTTCCCTGCTTCCCTTCACTGGTTCCTGTACAGCAGGGTCGTTTTTTTTTTTTCACTGTTATAGTCAATAAAAAGCAAAAGCAGCATGTGTATACATTCAGTAGGCTATATCTTAAGTAGCTAGCTAGCTAACCCTACACTTTCCAGGGTTTGATTTTGGTTGTTAGTTGCACTGATGAAATCCACAAGAAAAACCTTTTGAAAAATAAATGTAGTATGGCTACAGCTTGTGGTTATTTTCATTAGCTATGCATCTGATGATGTTTTTGAATATAAATTAAGCATACAGTCGATAAAATGTCAGAAACTTCACATCACAATTTCCCCAAACTAAAATCGACAATGAAAAAGCTTGTTTTGTCCAGTTGTCTAGAACCAAAAGATATTCAGCTTATAATCAGAGAAGACTACGAAACCCAAAATAGATTCACATTTGAAAAATCTGGAACAAGTTAATTTTTAGCAATTTGTGGCTTAAGTGATCATCAAAATATCTGCTGATTAATTTGACTCACATCTTCCTCCCATCTCTCACTGCAGGGTCTCAGCAGCCTGTTCAGCTCCCTGAAGGTGATCCGCCTGCTCCGGTTGGGCCGAGTGGCCCGAAAGTTGGATCACTACCTGGAGTATGGAGCAGCTGTCCTTGTTCTGCTGGTGTGCGTCTTTGGTCTGGTGGCCCACTGGCTGGCCTGCATCTGGTACAGCATCGGCGACTACGAGGTGATCGATGAGACCACCAACACCATTAAGACAGACAGCTGGCTCTACCAGTTGGCCCTGAGCATTGGAACTCCTTACCGCTACAATACCAGTGGCACAGGACAGTGGGAGGGAGGTCCCAACAAGGACACGTTGTATATTTCTTCTCTCTACTTCACCATGACAAGTCTCACCACCATTGGATTTGGCAACATTGCTCCGGCTACAGATGGCGAGAAGATTTTCTCCGTGGCTATGATGATGGTGGGCTGTAAGTACTCAATCACTTTCCAACGTGAAGCACTGTGTTGCCAACATTTCATAAAATCTCAAGAAGTATTTCATTGCCAAATTGTAATCTTCTCTAAATCACATGTCGGAAAACAACAAGTCTAATATTACATAACAAATAACATCATTCTATCATTACTGTACTTGGTATGAGTGGTGGTTAATGGAGCAGTAAATGGAGTCACGCAGCCGTCTAATAGAAATACACACAAGCTCCTCTATCACGTGGTCACACACATTTAAACACAGCTTAAACATTTAAAAGCCTCCGATGTTTCCTTTGTTCTTCCAAGCCTCTGACAAACCTAAATTTATCAATTGCCAGTGGACACTTTGTCAAGAGAAATTCGAGCGAGGCTTCTCAAAGCAGCTTAAGTCAAAGTGACCGCTGTTTTTCTTCTTCAGTGGTCATACAGTGCAACCTTGACAGTCCAAATAAATCTGAGCAGAGGACAAAAGAACAGCAGCTTCACTGTTGTTTGAGGAGCATACAGTATGAAGGCATGTGTGCTAAACACTTGAAATTAAAACAGAAACTATTGCTCTCTCTTGCCTAGAAAAGATGTGTCTTTTACCTCAGTGACATACACACTTACTCTAATGGAATATCACCAATGTTCCTCTAACAGATACAACTTCCCCACGACATACGCCAAAATGAACGCTGGTATTTTAGCTGCTTTTGGCTTTAAAAGGGACATATGAATACATATATTTATGTATATAAATACATATGTAAGAGCCAAAAATGTCCTTTCACTCAGCAGACTTTAATTGGATTTCCATAAGTGCACACTGGATGGCACTGTATTGGTATTTTGAGCTTAATGTATAAAGGTAGGAACAACATTGTTGCCGTCAGGTGCTTCACCCCAGAAGGGCAAATGGTTTGACCGCGAACATTGTAGAACATGCAGAAAGTTGTGTGCTCGGTTTGGATGGATAGACATTTGACGTTTGCTGATATTAATAAATATGATTATTTTTCTGTAACTAGAGCTTGCAGTTCGTTGTCTGAACACAGCACAACCAAAGAAGCTGTGGCATCGACTGAGGCAGGTGTGTCAGCCAGGTCAGGCTGGGTTAAACATCTTAGTAGCTGCAAGCAATAGACTTAGCTCCTACAACATATATTTTCTCTTACCTGTGGTGCTATTTATCAGTCTGGGTTATTTTGGTGTTGCTGAGTGTTGGAGATATCGGCCATAGAGATGTCTGCCTTCTCTTTAACCAGATGGCACTCGGCTCGTGGTGCTCAAAGCACCAAAAAACATACATTTGTAAAACTCAACCATGTCTATTTCCAGAAATCATGACCTGGTTACTCAAGATAATGCACAAACATTGTTTGAGAGTAGGTGTTTCTGTGATGATCTGGAGAATGCAAGGATGAGGCCGATCATGGAGTTCTTTCTTAATGCACGTTTATTACGAGTTTGGATCAACATTTGCTACATGCAGAAGCTATGTGTGATACATAAACAGAGAGAGACATGGCTTTTATACTAAGATAGTAGCACGTGCGCTGTTACCTACATGGTGCTTTGCCAAATTTAACTTGGCCTTCGGCCAACTAAAATTAGTCTAACTCATAGCTGTCCTGGCGGAACATGATCCTCAGGGGTTCTTTGACCTAGTATCCATTGGTGAGTGAAGATGTAAAAATACATACTAACATTGTTGTGAGCAGTTTCATGTAGGAACTATTTTCTCTCTACCAAACTACACCAGCCATCCAAATCACTGTGCAGAAGGAAGCGTGCATCTACTCATGGAGGAGAGGCTCATGCTTTTGTCTGGACCCCTTGAGGACAGGTGTGTGTGTGTGTGTGTGTGTGTGTGTGTGTGTGTGTGTGTGTGTGTGGAGAGCTGGTCATGAGAAGTTGCTGTACTGATTTTAATGTGGTTTGCCCAGAGAATAAATCCCCCTGGTCAGCAAGGCAGAAGTTGTCCTCGCTTCCTTCCTCATCATCCATGATCACAGAGCTTGTAGCAAACCAAAGCAGTCAGGCCATACTGGTCACATGACTATCCCACTGGTTAGCTCATCATACCACTGATACCAGCAAAGTGTTGTCACGGAAGTAAAGCTTCCACCTTCTGGTTTCCCTGGTTAATACATTTAGCTTTGTTAGCACTGTTCCTATTGTTTAGCACTGTTTATGAAGTTAGCACTGTTAGCTGCTAGCCGCCAGCTCAGCCACCTCCATGTCTGCAAGACTCATACGCTCTGAATTTCAAAATAGAGCCCCTTTAATGTTGTCCTCCTCGGCTGAGTTGTAACGTTAGCTAGCTCAGTGGTGTTAGGTGAGCTAGCAGTAGATGCACGCTTCCTTTTGTGATACAGATGGTGGGTGTACTTTCGAGAATAACTGGGTCATGACATCTGGAAAGAGACAATGCTTATGAGTTTCTAAGATGTATTATTTGGGCACTTTGAGCACCACAAACCGAGTGCCATCTAGTTCCATTATATTTGAGATAAGGCAAACATCTCTATGGCTGACATCTCCAACACTCACACCAAAACAATCTAGATTGATAAACAGCTACAGTTCAGAGGACAAATATATGTTCTTGAGTTTGGGGAAGACTGTCCCTTTAAGCTGATGCTCAGGCCAGTGGGATGTTGTAAATTTAACACTTTAGCTACTGTAATGTGCTAAATATCAACCTTCTAACAATAATTCCATATAAACATAAAGAATAATTTATCAGTTTAAAGGTTTTGTCATTTACACAAGTCATACAGAGCTAATATTTAGCTACTGCTAACATAGCTAACTAACTTACTACAACAAAGTGAATATTATGACAGCTGCCATATAAACAAGGTTATCTGCCATATTATTGTGACAGAAGCAGCTGTGAGTGGGAAGTGAACAGCCAGTAGAACAATGGCTGTACAGCATTAGCCACTTTTTGATCTCCCCATCACTCTGCAGCAGACATACGTATCCTTTGATGCCGTTTCCATTCATGCATTTCATCCGTTCATAATATGCCAGTACAACCTTGCAGGAGCCGAAACAATCTGGATGCATTTACTTGCATGTTAGACACGATAATGTGCTCCACAGCCCGGCTGGTTGTCTGCCAGCTGCCTGTAAAGCAACATATGGTGGAGATGTGCAGGTTTCTGCACAGCCTCAAAGGAAAATTCAAGCTCAGTATGATCAACACAAAGCTGGTTCTTATGGATAAATATGTGGGGTAGCCGAGATCAGGGCTGTTGTACGATAATTTAGGTAATTTTTGATGCATAGTTTGCATGCTTCATCACAATCAAAAGGCAGCAACACAAAATAACAGTTAAATCACAAACATACAGATGTTATTTCACTCTCATTTTAAATATTATTTTAATAACTGAGAGAACTTGTGTACATAAATAATTCTTTACACTCAACAGTATTAAATAGTTTACAGGCTCTCTCAGCTGTGGCCATGTAATTCACATTAGGCTGCAGCCTCAGTGCTTGAACCACTGGGGAGAGTTTAGGATTCGGCTTTGTTGATAATAAAAGGTGACATGTTCAGCGCCCATCACAGCCTGCTCTGTGGGGGTTTGTCTGAAGGTTGGTCATCAGAAAAGCCTTTTTGTCTTTGTGTTAATGCACTCATACTGAAATTATTCAGGCTCCTTCTCTGCTTTAAATTACAAAATGCATGTCCTGCAGAAAATTGTGTGTGAACGCTAACAGCTGGGATTGCAAAGCACTGCTGAAAATACAGGAATCTTAAAGTACAAATGCACTGCACTGCTGGAGACTGAAGTGTAAAACTGGCACAGTTGGAAGCTGAGCTGCATTAAGCTAAGAGCTGAAATACATTGATAGAAAAGCTAAGAGCTAAATTATAATACTGTCAAAGATTAAAGTTAAAAATTTATGAAAGAAGACATGCTTTTTAATTCGAAAAACATAAACCATAGGAAATAAAGTTGAATACAAGCATAAATGTCCTTAAAGAACATACTGTTCTGACATTTGAATGGTTTCTGTAGTTGAGAGTATGGAGAAGTTGTTTTTAATTGAAAAATGTATGGGAGAAGTACATTAACTTTGTGACATGTTTAAAGCTTAAATGAACTCTGTAGATAAAAGTATCAGGAGTAGTTTATTTTAAGTATTTATTTTAAGTGGAGTAGATGAAAAAAATAATTGATTTTTTTTTAAATCAATTGCAGCTATTGAAGCTTCAAAATAAAATTAAAGCTTCAAATTTGATCATATTACCAAATGGGGGCTTTTATTTTGAAAAGTCAGCTTTGGCTTTAGCATGTTGTATAACACTTAAAAGCAGTCTACACTGTCTTAATAGTCTTTTACTGTCATATTTCTAACTTCACATTAAAACTACCTGTATTTCAGGAGGTGGTGAACATTAAATGTACCTACCGTAAAACTAATTTTGGGACAGGCATTTAATTCCTTTCACACAAAACTATTGCTCTGCAAAAATCAGGAAATATAATCAAATTGTTTATTTACACCTGTTTGAATATTACTTATTTAAAAATTGGATTTATGTTTATGAGAAACCCTTTTGAATCTTTTGATTTGATGACCCTTACGGACTAAAAGGAATATAAATCATTTACAGGGTAATCGAGAAATAGACACATAATTTGAGGTAGACAACCACTTGGTTTTATACAATTGAAGAACTTCTATAAAAAAATAACCTGCTTGGCAATCAGACCAGGCGTCTAATTGAGACAGCTTTTTATTTGTCATAATGTGTAGCTACACCAGGCTAGTAAAAGGGACAGCCGTTTAATTGGGACTAGGCTTTTCATTGAAGTTTTACGGTAATCTCATCTACCTGAATGTTTCATTCACAAAAATGACTCTATTCTCCTTAAAAGAAGATGCCTGTTGAGTTATTCTGAATGAACTGACAAGTCAAACCAACCTCATATACTCTGCACCTCTTCATAAAAATAGAAATCTATTTTTATGCAAGTGTCTGTATTAGTTTTATCAACCCTTGCAGTTACAGTAATAGCTTCACCTTCAGTGTCACTGCGCCCACTGTCAGCCTTTGCTTACTGTTCCTCCGTCATGACTCGCCTTCCATCACCAACATTTGGCCCACTCCTCTAAAACAGCATGTAAAGTGATGCAATAAAAAACAGTGAGGGGAACGCAAACTGACAGCCACGCTTCAAGGTCTGCACTTCCAAAACTAAACACCCATTATTCTGGTGGTGTTTCCATCACGAAGATCACTCAGTCACACTGAAGTGTCCGGTTCAATTACGGCCGATAGCTCTCCTGCTACAGATACAGTAATTATGCGAGAGGAGAAGGAGAAAGCGAGAGTTTGCCTGCAGGCTGGAGTGTAGTAAAAGGACAATGAGCCATCACGTTGGATATTTATCTTAACCTCTGTGATCCTGCTGTGGCGACTGGAGACAAGTCGTTCCTCTTGAGTGGGTAAAACCTCACGATAAGAGATCCTGACTGACTCTTTGAGGTCACTGCAGCACAGAACACTAACTGGGGAAATGTGCATTATGAATAACATTATAAATGCTCAATCCACCATTCAATGATACAAACAGGAAATCATATATGCAAATTAAAGTTGCATAATCTTTTTTTTGTTCTCTGTCAAAAGGTTCAATATACATTCTGAATTCTCTGACAATTATTTCATGTGTCTGGGTTTATACGATTATATTTCAATTGATTTACCCATTAATAATGACATTATTAAGGTATTTGTGATGGAATTTTAAGGGGAAAATGAATAGATAATGGGTTGCTTACTTCAACAGGGATTTTATGTAGTAACAGCTCCTTAAAATTGTGAAACATGAAAACCATCCCTTAATTTATACCTTATAAAAAGGACCTTAATTTTTCAGTCAAGGAGATGAATGGATAATGGATATATATTAAGGGATTTTTGATTGGATTTTAAAATTTTCACTAGAGGGTGAAAAAAAAAACTTTGAATTGACCAAAAACATCTTTTAATTTGTACCTCCAACAGGCCTTTAATTTTTTAAATTATGATGAAACATCTTAGATTTCTTCCATGATTTAAATCATTTTAAAGACTATTTTACCCTTGAAAAACTCCTTAAACCATTCAAATAATCCATTAAAAATACATGTTGGCTCAATCACTTAACTTTGTCATTTGTTATTTCAATATTCGGGGTTATTCTCCTGAATATGCACCTTAATTAAAACCATCTTTCTTTTTATGTATCCAATGGTTATTTCGGATAAAGTCCTTAATTTGCACTATAACTGAAAGATAATGGTCTTTTTCAAGATAGAAGTTAAGGGGTATATGCTTTTATTGTAAATTGTAAGGGTTTTCTATCCCCTTAAACACCTTAAAACATACATATAATCCATAATATCAGTAATTTACCCAATAAGTATCCTGTAATTTGAGATGACATACTGGAATATTATTTGAAATACAGATCCTATAAATAGTATACATTTTTGGACTTGTCAGACCTCTATGTGAACTGAACTCCTGTAGATCCCAGATGATTTCCTGGAATAAAACATATCCTCCCTCCTCGTGCTGCTGAATAAAACAGTGCTGCATGTCTGTCTGTTTGTAAGGCTGCTTTGTACCTGACTTTGCTTTTCATCTGTTGTTTTAGCACTGCTGTATGCAACCATCTTTGGAAACGTCACCACCATCTTCCAGCAGATGTACACCAACACAAACCGCTACCACGAGATGCTCAACAACGTGCGTGACTTCCTGAAGCTTTATCAGGTTCCCAAAGGTCTGAGTGAGAGGGTCATGGACTTTATCGTCTCCACCTGGGCCATGTCTAAGGGCATTGACACAGATAAGGTATCATTATTTTTGTTCGAAAAAAAGAGTTCATGAAATTTCCCATATTAGTAAAAAAAAACTGTAAAATGCTCTTCTGACAACATCAACAACCCCTTTTACTCATGATATACTGAGTAATTACTGTAATGAAGTGGAATTAGTGTATTCTTGTAGAGTTATCACAAGGCACTGATAGAGATAGAGATTGGTCGTGCACACTTAAGCTTCAAGTCCAAAGTTAAACTGATGCACAGCTCTGCCGCTCACCATCAAAAAGTACGAGTGCTATCACTTTAAGCAGGATCATAAAAAATGTAAGAGCAGGGTCAACAGGTTTGGACAATAAAGAGCCTAAAAGGTTACAGCAGATCATTGAGTGCACTCATTGATACTCAGAGTTCAATGAAACTGCTGGACCTCGTGCACCTTTGAAAGGGGATGCTATTCATAACCACAAAGCATTAGTGATATTTTGTTTAGCTATGGCCAAACAACAGCAGAGTGATGGTTTAATAATCTCAAAACCCAGAGGAAGACAAGAGTTTGTTGGTTTATTTTTATGATGTATGAACCCACATTTATTAAAGGTTAGTTGTTTTTAACCCCTTGGCTTGAGACTCAAATCTTGAACACCTAGAAATGGATTTTTATGCCACATCAGGGTGTCTACAGGTATTAGTATGTTAAATCTAATGCTTTTTAAGAGCCGTTTAAGACATCGTTCACCAAATTAAGGACAGATTTTTGGACAGATCATGTTTTACTTATTTAAAGCAATGCAGGTAAGCCTTGCAGGCAAGCAGTATATATGTGGTCCTGTGCAGAGGTAATTGTTATGTAGGAATATGGTTATTAGAGTGAGTTAAGTATATCTAAATCTTGCCAACAGATGAGTGCAAGTATGAAGTAAAAGGACAATATTATTGATTTTAAAGATTTGTAACATTAGAAATGTGGACTTTTACACAGAATTATTTTCACAGGAAGAAATTAAATAATGGATTAATGAAATAAGATAAAATGTTTGTAGTTAAGACCTCACAAATTTCAATTATTGTTGTAACATTGAATTTAAGACATTTTAGGCCTTTTTAAGGGCCTGTAGACACCCTGCACATCCTACCCATGGATAATTACTTAGGCAATTACTTTTGGCTGGAATGCCATGGAAAACACTACAAAATGAGTATATATAATGCAAAGCTAATGCATGTTTCCTGATACTTATATCAAATCACCCATTACAGATCCATTACTCACCTGTGTTACATTGAATTCGTGAAGAAAACTTCTTTCATGCCTCCGATGAACAAAAAATCCAGAAAATTCTTGATAAACTGAAGTCATAGTGTGTTTTAAAGGGTTAGTTCAGGTTCAACAAAATCCCACAATAGCACAGACTAACTACAGTTGGAGGCAGTGATAGACCAGCAGCTCCAGTGTTCAGCAAGACAAAATTACTATTTTTGTCAATGAATTTGTTTGGCTTAGAAGCGAACATCAATAAGTTTCACTTTTAGTTCAACTCCCCGTCAGAAAGAGCCGTCTGTTTGGGAAGTACTGACCATACTGAGGAAATTTCTCCCTAATTGGATTCTCCGTTCATCACAGGCATGCCAGAAAAAAAATTTTCTTCGCAAATTCAACGTAACATGGGGTGCGAGTGATTAAGATTCAGATTGTGATTTGTGGGGTGAAGTATTCCTTTAATGACGTATTAAATGCTCTGATCTCTCTCAGGTTCTCTCAATTTGTCCCAAAGACATGCGGGCGGACATCTGTGTCCACCTCAACAGACAGGTGTTCAACGACCACCCGGCGTTTCGTCTGGCCAGCGACGGCTGTCTGCGCTCTCTAGCTGTGGAGTTTCAAACCACGCACTGTGCACCAGGAGACCTCATCTTCCATATCGGAGAGAGCGTTGACACTCTCTGCTTTGTAGTCTCTGGTTCACTAGAAGTCATCCAGGACGATGAGGTCATCGCAATACTAGGTAATCTAATGCAATTTTATGAAAGAGGCCGGGGTCGAGTTTTATCTGGGCCTGTTGGCATAGATAAAATGAGAGCAAAGGTTGTCTCAGTGCAAAGATGCACTTCCTTGGAAAAAACTAACAGGGTGCCCTATAGGTTTTCTCTGTATGCTGTATTTTCACAAGTTGTGTTTACTATTGTGTCACTGTGCTCCCCCTTTAAAAGAAAAAGTCACACAATACATTTAAGTCAAAGAAGTCAATACTTTCTACCTGTTATAAACACAGTGATCATGTCTGGCTGAATCCAGGTAAAGGTGATGTGTTTGGAGACGTGTTCTGGAAAGAGACCACGATGGCCCGTGCATGTGCAAATGTCCGAGCTCTGACTTACTGCGATCTACACGTGATCAGGAGAGACGCTCTGATGAGAGTGCTGGAGTTCTACACTGCATTTGCCAATACATTCTCCCGCAACCTCATCCTCACCTGCAATCTACGAAAACGGGTAAAAATTGCTCTCTATCTCTTAAAGTTAGTTTTCAGTGTAAAACATACTGGGTGCTTTAAAGGTGAGAACAAGTTGTTTGGGCATTTTATGCCTTTGTAGACAGTAAGACGTAACAGGAAACAGTCATCTCCTGATGCAATTACATGTTTAGAACCATACACCCCTGGACCACCTGCAATTTAATATTGTTAAGAAGTAGTGGCCTGCCAGGGGGTCAGTAATTACGTTATTCTGAGTGAATCCTCCAAACATATCAGATATGTTATGCTGACATTGGGGTAACCAAACCAAACTGGGTATTTTTTACAACATATCGAAACATTTCCAGCCATGTTTGTTTCGACAAAAGCAAGTATTTTTTTTAACAAGAGGTAGGGACATTTCCAGCCATGTTTGTTTCGACAAAAGCAAGTATTTTTTTTAACAAGAGGTAGGGACATTTACAGCCACGTTTGTGGCAACCAAACTGGGTATTTCTAACAAGAAGTCAGGAAATTTCCAGTTAAGTTTGTTGCGTCCAAACCCAGGTCCAAATCCAGGTATTTGGCTAAATGTTGGGACATTTACAGCCATGTTTTTGGCAACCAAACTGGGTATTTTTAACAACCAAGACTCAACCACATGTTAACCACAGCATTGTGACAACATAAAATTAAAAATTGAAATGTTAACTTTGAAAATTCCCGCTACATATGAAACATACAAAATTAAGATATTTGTGGTTTGCAGAAACATTCAATGCCAACATTTATTCCAGTGACTGGAATATTGTATCTCAATGGAGTTTTTCAATCGTTCATTCTGTACTTATATAATGAAACACTGAAAAACCACCACCTGCTATACTTAAATAATTCTGCACATGCAAAGTTTCCAACAATAACATTCAGATTTCATACTGGCAACAGGGCAATCACAAAGATGTAGAGAGAAACTAAAAAGGAATAGTTATTCTCTGAGTCCAAACTGAGACTCTAATTAATATTTTATAAAGCTTCTCCAAGGTATATGTATTAATTCCATTAAGGCATTGAAATGTATTACTTCCCAGTCTTGGTACTCAGTTGCTCATATATGGCTGTAATGTTATCCTATGGGATGAACATCACATTAATTCTTAATGAATATTCCCTTTAAACTTAATCTGGTCCATGTGGTTCCTTGTGCTCTTTGTTCGGGACTGGCTTATATGAAATATAAACACTTCTGAGGTCAAGTACATGTTACTAATTAGAATATGTACTTTTCGAAGGAATTAAACCAACTCACATTTACTTTTATAATCTCTGTATCCAGAAAAGTTCAGGAGTTTTACTTGAGTTTTACTCAAGTTAAAGCAAACAGTCATGCCAAAACAATGTGTTTACAGAAACGTGCATGTTTATAATGATTTTATAATGTTTTAAGTAAATATATACTTAAACTATCCTCTCTGACTTTTCTAGTTTGTTCCAGCTCCATTGTAAGAGCTCTTATGCAATCATACATGCTGAAACCATGCAGTGAAGCAGCTCTAAATCTAAACAATTTTGAGTCAAATTATGGCTGCATGCTGAAAGATTTATGTCTTGTATGTTAAATGTATTCAGCGAAAACAAAGCCATCTATTATTCATTTGAGCAGCTTTAGAAACTGTTCATGCCTGCAAAGGTTTAAGATTTATTCTCTGCCCTCTTTACTGTTATGTACTCTGTTAACTTGCATGAATGTGCTTCTAAACTGCATCGGGACACTAGCTGTAAGAATCCATACAAGTGCTTGAAAGAAATTTCTCAAATGTATTTGCTTTATTTTTTATCAGTTATGTTATACAGCAAAACAAAGTTTCAGTAGGTTTTTTATTTGGTTGGTCTTTTTTGGGTGTTTTGTGCAGCTGATTTGATTAAACAGATTTGTTTTTGACCATAAAAAATGCTTGTGGAACTGAACTGTCTGGACCATTGGCAACTGGATGAAGATTAGGCCATGAAACTTTTTCCTCACACTGTTGCTTTAGACAAAAAATCTAAGTCAGGTAGTTTTAGATGAACCCACAGATTAGTTTAACAGAGAGTTCACCCCAAAAACTAAAATACAAATTTTTCCTCTAACCTGTATTGCTACTTGTAATTCTGAATTGCAGAGATATAACAGAACTAGATGGCACTCGGCTTTCAGCTCTCAATGTGCCAAAAAATATATTTGAAAAATTCAACAGTAATGAAAGAAATCATGACCCGATTACTCACGATAATCCACAGACCTTCTGAGCAGTTTCACTTGGGGACTATTTTCTTTCCATCAAACTACACCCACCAATTGAATCACAGCACAGAAGGAAGTGTGCATCTACTCGTGAAAATAATTTGAACATTTGAAATTGTTCACGAAGACCAGAGGTTAACCTATTGATACTTACTTACCACAGTTTCCTCAACAACATAGATAAAAGGTGCTTTCAAACTTGCCCTGTCTGGTTCAGTTCAATTGAACTCAAGTTTGTTTGCCCCCTAAGTGCGGTTCTTTGCACCAAAACAACTGGACCGAAACGTTCTTGAAGAGGTGGTCTCAGTCTGGTTACAAACAAACTCTGGTGCGGTTTGTCTGTGGTGAGAACGTGTCCCGACCTAGATCTGAACTAACTGTAGTCACATGACACATTGTTTGGGTTAAACATGAGCATGTTACAGTCCTGGAGGATTATTAATGTGCACCTCCTCCTGTACTGCCTTAATATGCACATTCAGCACATCCAATGCATCAAAACATTGTTTTCTAGTTGGAGCCGCGCCTCGTTTTCAAATTGTATGGTTTGACTAAAATGAACAATGACAGCGATATAGTCCACGATGAGCAGCGCTAAAATCAACCTGCGTAGTTGTCCCTCCATTGTGACATTAAAGTGTCACATTTATCTTGCAAGTGTACTCTTCTTCAACGTTTGGTTTACTTCCTGGATTTTTCCCTCATGGAAATTCTGACCAATCAAGAGCAGCTTTCTCGTGCAAGGCATTTGATCTGGTCTGCTTGTAAATGCTGCCGTGAGAACACGAACCAACTCTAGGCAATTATACAACTTTGGAACAAAATTAGTCCCTGATTCAGACCAAAGCAAGACAACTCTAGGTCTGAAAGCACCCATTAAGTGTGCCAAGTCCAAGTAAGATGCCAAGAAATGGATTTCCTTTTTTTGTCTTCTGACTGAATTCAGAAACTCTCTTGCTCCATTACTTCATTATTGCTCCATTAACAGTTCCCTGGTGCATTGCAGCATTCAGGTCTTTAATATTTCAACACACACAGCAGGTCTTAGCATAGCATGGCACTGTTATCCTTGCTTTAAAGCTGCATTATATATGTACGTTTTGTTTCATCCAAGTAGGGCTCTACTATGGTAATTTAAATGTGAACTCAGTGTGTACATCCCACATCACTGTCCTCATGCACAGATTCTCCCTCTTGCAGATAATCTTCAGAAAGATTGCTGATGTGAAGAGGGAGCAGGAACGCCAGAGGAACGAGGTGACTCTCTCCATTCCTGACGATCACCCAGTCCGCAAGCTGTTCCAGAGGTTCAGGCAGCAGAGAGACGCTCAAACACCGGGAGAGTCTCACACTTACTTTGATCAAAACTGTGTGCAGGTGGAGCCGCAGCACCACCATCGCTCTGACTCAAACTCTTACATGCAGTGTCAGTCCATGTCTTCTCAGCAGCAGGAGTACAGCTCTGTGATGCAGAATAATGCACCCTGCACAGGAGGAGGGAATTCAGGCAGTGGCTCCAGTATTGCTGCACCTCCACAAAAATTGGTCCACACTGAGACGTCAACACAAAACTGCACAAAAGAGGCTGGGGAATCTATAGCGAGGCCGTGTGCAGAGAGTCAGCTTTGTCAGAGGGTCAACAGCCCTGCACGGAGCAGTAGTGCAGGTGGAGAAGGAGCTGTAGGTGGTGTCACCAGCAGCAGAGGTGCTCGAGGCTGGGCAAAGTTTAGAAACGCAGCATCGGCTGCACCAACTGCAACATCCGCACCACCTGCACCACTGCCTCCTGCTGTCGAGCCTGAAAAGAAGCCACAGAAAGCAGAAGAGTGGCCCAAGGGATCCCAGTCCTCAGAACAATTAGCAGCCGTGAACAAGAGCCAGAACTCTGAGGAAAGTGGAGAGATGGGGAGCACAGAGGGGGGCAACGGTGCTGGAGAGGCAGGTGATGAAATAAGCGCCCTGCACAAAACTGACTCCTGTGACAGTGGTATCACAAAGAGCGACCTACGCATTGACCGAGCTGGAGATTCAAGAAGCTCATTTGAAAGAAGCCCGCTGGAAAAGAGCCCAATGGAGAAAAACCCATTTGAGCACAGTCTCGGGGTCGACTCCCTCAAACACTCTTTTGTTCAGCCGGTGTCTGAGCAAGCGCTCCTTCAAGCCACCCTACATGAGGCCAAGCTGGAGCTGAAGGGAGACATTCAGAAACTGAGTGGCCGCCTGTCGGTCCTCGAGACTCAGGTGGGCGAGATCCTCAGGCTGCTGTCGGTAAAAAGAAGACTCTCACTGCCACCGACTTCTTCACCGAAGGCCAGAGTGAGAAATCAAGACTCAGTGGCTGCCTCCACTGCGGTTACACCGAAAGTAGATGAAGGGCCTTTCTGAATTTAGGGATTTTAAAACCCACAACCTGGATCTCTTAAAAACTGATTTATATACGCACCAGTTTGCATGCCCTGCTGGACTCCGACCTGCCAAAGACTTTCCTGGAATTTAAACATCAAACTGCATGCAGAAATCCCTTTCATGTTTCCTGAGCACTACAAAAAAACAGGGATTCTTTTAATGGTCTTTGACATATGAAGCACTTTTACGGTCCTGTGTATACTACATTTAAAAATTCCCAAAAGAAACAGGAACAATTATAAAAACAGACAATAAAAAAACACCTTTTGTGTTGTTATTGGTCAAAAATAGTACATTCTCAAAAGCAGTACAAACATTATAGAACTACACATCTCTACTAATCTTACAATACTCTGTTGAAGGCTTTTGTTGAAAGATCGGAGCCTTAAAGGCTGAGGTCAAATCATAGATTTAACACATAGTTTGAGTCTTTTTGTAAAGCTGTCCTTTTCATGATCTTCCTGGACTTTTTTCCCCTAGATGTTAATTTACAATTTTTAGCAGAACACCTGACCAAAGGGTTCACCTGCCATAACTTTTATATTGAATTAAACAACTTCAGCTTGCTCATGTGTCAGAGAAGCAGGAGCAACTCTGACTTTTACTTCAGTAAACCTTCCTACCACCGTATGTTAAATAGGAGGAGAGTCTCAGTTTTTCATTTTTGCTGCCCATCCTCAGTGGCTACCTACCTTTACTAAAGGAGTACCTCACCTACAAAATGGCCATTTTCATATCAATTACTCATCCCGTGTTATGTAGAGTATGTAAAGAAAACATATTGTTTTTCATGTATTGCCTCCACGGTGAACGAAGAATCCAACAGAATCCATGCATAAGGACCTGGCTTGACGTGCACTGCATGGGTTTGTTTCTATGACATCAATATCTTGACACTAACTTTAGCCAAATAGCTACTGTTATGCTACATTAACAGAGGGTTGACAATATAGACAACCACAAGCTTACAAAGCAAACCGTTACAAAAGCACATCACCCTCCAGAAACATCCAGTGTCGGCCGATCGATATGCTCCCAAAAAAATTGGCTTTACTGTCTTTGTTGTAAGAGTAGACAAGAGTATTGCTTAAGAAGCAGCAGTAACATCACTAGCGCCTTTCTAAAAATTAAAGAGAATTTCAACTTGAAGCGTCTGGAGTGGCTACACAAGAAAGGCGGAGCAGTCCAAAAGAAGGTGCTGAGCATGACGCTTTTTCACTAGGTGGCCATATAAGCCCTGTTTCCACCAAGCAGTACAGTTCAGTTCAGTTCAGTATGCATTTTTTCTGTTTCCACTGTGAAAAGTTGTGGATGGTACCAATAGAACCGTTCCGTACCGTCCCCATTTTTTGTCCCCCCTCTGTTGGGGTACCTAGCACACAGATCTGGTACTAAAAGGTGGAGCTGTGGACACTGCAGTCTGTTGATTGGTCAATAGCAGATAATCACTCAGGGCCAAGTTCTGGCTGTTCATACTGTGAAGAGTTTTAGTAAACTATATAAAATGAAAGGATGTTTTGCTGCCTCTTGCAGCAGCTGTAGTCTGAGAATTTTTTTTTAAACTACCTAAACTGACCTAGGGTCTAGGTACCATGTCTGGGCGGTTACTTTTGGTTCCAAAGGTACCATACTGAAAGTGTTTGGTGGAAACGGGGATGTACGCTCTTTAATACTGCACGAGTTGCGTGAGACTTTGTAAAAATGGATGTTTTGATCTAGTTTTGCTGTTGATAAACGTGGCTGCCCTTTACTTAAATTCATTAAGAATTTTCTCCATTTTTGGATTCTTTAATCACCGTAGAGACATGCGGGAAAAACCTGCATTCCTCCAATTTTTCTTTACAAATTCATCGTAACACAGAGTGAGTAATGTATATTGAAATGATCATTTGGGGTGAAGTATTCCTTTAATTGTCAGTAGGGATGCACGATATTGGATTTTTTGATATCCGATATGCCAATATGTAACAACTCATTTGACCGATACTGATATCGACATATCCACTTTTTTCCCTACCTAATGTTGATGATCATCAAGTCTCTTCTGCACTGGAATTAACATCATATTATGCATGCACGCTCTTATCGTGACGGCCCACCAGCAGATGGAGACATAAAATACAATACTATTCAATGTATGTAATATTCAATCATTGTGCAAATTAGGAAAAAGCATGTTGGCTGATTCTAAAAGCTCATTTTAAAGCCAACATTGGCCAATAACAATGACATGCTATGTTATTGTGCATCCCTAACTGTCAGGTAATAAATACTATGTGCCTTACAATAACAAAGCCTCAGTCAGAGTTGTTTTGATGAGACATAATCAACTCTTTATGATTTTTAAGCACACCTTTTATAATATGTGTGTATAAGTGTGTTAGTGTTTATCCATTTTTAGAATACAGTGGAGGACTTTCTCAGTTCCATCACTGCACTGTATCCATTTTGTGAACTGTTTAGAAACTCTTTTAAATTTGTGTTTTCCCATGCATGTGAAATAGGATTTGGAATGCAATGATGCTGGTTTAATAATAGATTTGTATTGTTATTTATTCATATGCTCAATTTTCTTGTGAAAGATTTATTTTCCTTAAACAAGATGTGAATTTTCAACATGTTACTGCAGCAAACTAACTGTACGTTCTTTCAACTACTCTGCCTCTTGCTCAGGTATATTTGCTCTAATACTGAATTTAACTGTTTATTTCAGTATGAGTGAGTTTCTTAATCTACTTGTAAGATTAGATAGTAATGCAAATAATGGGTTACTACACACCACTATGCAAATCTAAATGAACTGGCACCACACTTGGTGATGCAAACATTTGCTGTTGTTTATTCTGTTTTGGATAAAAATGATAACAATGATGTACATGAAAAAACAGCATGGTTACAGTGATGATGCTTTCTAATTTTCTGTGTGACTGCGAATCAGCTCAGTATGAACTGTGATGTAAGCATGTGACTGTCAGTTGATTCAGTACATCTATTTTATATCAGATGTATAAAGGAGGTTGCATGCATCCAGGGAACCTGTCAACAGTGAAATGAATAATGAAAACCGATGCCTGCTCACCATCTGTTGTTTAGTTTCCTCTGTCATGCGACACAGAAGTCAGTCTCTATGTAAATGCATTGAAAACTTCAACATGCAAACAGGCTTTATCTTACACATATGTTTTTGTTGATCCAGGAAAGTCAAAACATATTTGTGAACATGAACAGCTGCAACAACCAAGTTCACTTTTCAGTTCTTTCTTCTTCTTGTTTTTTTTTTTTTTTAAAGATTGTTGTTGATTTATTTAATGGTTGACATTAGAGACAGAAAGGAAACGTGAAAGGCACAGGGAACAACAAAGGCGCCTACCTGGAATCATACACTCATCGGCCACTTAATTAGGTACATCTGTTCAACTGCTTGTTAACGCAAACACCTAATCGGCCAATCACGTGGCAGCAGTTTAATGCATTTAGGCATATAGACATGGTCAAGACGACCTGCTGAAGTTCAAACCGAGCATCAGAATGGGCAAAGAAAGGTGATTTAAGTGACTTTGAATGTGGCATGGTTGTTGGTGCCAGACGGGATGGTCTGAGTATTTCAAATTTTCACACACAACCATCTCTAGGGTTTACAGAGGATGGTCCGACAAAGAGAAAATATCCAGTGAGCAGCAGTTCTCAGGGTGAAAATGCCAGAGGTCAGAGGAGAATGGCCAGACTGGTTCAAGATGATAGAAAGGCAACAGTAACTCAAATGACCACTGGTTACAACCAAGATCTGCAGAAGACCATCTCTGAACCAACAACACGTCCAATCTTGAAGCAGATGGGCTACAGCAGCAGAAGACCACACCAGGTGCCACTCCTGTCAGCTAACAACAGGAAACTGAGGCTACAATTCACACAAGCTCACCAACACTGGACAACAGAAGATTGGAAAAACGTTGCCTGGTCTGATGAGTCTGGATTTCTGCTGCCACATTCAGATGGTAGGGTCAGAATTTGGTGTAAACAACATGAAAGCATGGATCCATCCTGCCTTGTATTAACGGTTCAGGCTGGTGGTGGTGGTGTAATGGTGTGGGGGAGATTTTCTTGGCACACTTTGGGCCCCTTAGTACCAACTGAGCATGGTTTAAACACCACAGCCTACCTGAGTATTGTTGCTGACCGTGTCCATCCCTTTATGACCACAGTGTACCCATCTTCTGATGGCTACTTCCAGCAGGATAACGCGCCATGTCACAAAGCTCACATCATCTCAAACTGGTTTCTTGAACATGATAATGAGGTCACTGTACTCCAATGGCCTCCACAGTCACCAGATCTCAATCCAATAGAGCACCTCTGGGATGTGGTGGAACGGGAGATTCACATCATGGATGTGCAGCCGACAAATCTGCAGCAACTGTGTGATGCTATCATGTCAATGTGGACCGAAACCTCTGAGGAATGTTTCCAGCACCTTGTTGAATCTATGACACCAAAAATTAAGGCAGTTCTGAAGGCAAAAGGGGTCCGACCTGGTACTAGCAAGGTGTACCTAATAAAGTGGCCAGTGAGTGTATAGTCACATGTGGCACTGACAGTCTTCACATCTCCTCTGGAAAAGTAATTCCTCTCCACTGACTGTTTTCCTCATCATTGGTGCTGATATGGCAATTATAGCTTATAGATTACTTAAATGTTTTTAAACTTCTTAAAGCATGTTAATTAATATATTTACAGTATATTGAAAGTTTCATGCACGCAGCCCTCCACAACACAGGGTGGCACTAATGTCTCATTTTAGTGTCTTTGCAAACGGATATACGCCTGCGCAGTAAAAGGCGAGTGCTGCAGAAGTTTGAGCCAAAGTCCAGATAAGATCTAAAGCAGGTAAATACAATCATTTCTAGAGTTATATTAGTTTAATTAGCGACAGCATTGTGTGGCCTTTTACTGGAGACCCACTTCCTTAAACGTCCTTAAACGCTCCGATTCTCATTCACGGCAGCTGCCATAACTTCTAAAAGTCAATCTTTATTTAATGATCATTGGTTATGAGAATGCAGGGATGCATTGGGTTTACCATATACATTTTCCAGACAATTAAGTCCGGGAGTTTTGGTTCAAAACTGCACAGCAATATTCTTTTTTCTTTTATCTGTGATGACTGAAGTTTTTGTAACCCAGAAACTCTGTTACACTTGATTTGTTTGCAGGGATTCTGCATGAAGACGATGCCAAAACAAGTTTAACAGAGTTAAAGCTACAGTCAACAGAGATGAAAGAAGAAGGAAAATTGTTGTTTAACTCTGCAGATTACTTCCCGTACTTTATTGTCAGGGAAAAATGTATAAATGAATGAATAAATGACTTTATTTCGAACCAAAAATTAAAAAATTAAAAAACAAACAAGACAAAGATAACAGTGTCAAAAAAGAAGTAGGTAGAGTAAAAACTTAAATGTCCAAAAAATTCCCAAATTTATTTACAATTAATATGCAATTATCATTTTACCCCCCAATTGAATAAATAAGTAATAAAGTCAGTTTATTTACTGGTTAATTACCCAGTTTATTTCTGGTAAAAAAAAATGTATGCATGTATGTAAATGTATATCGAAATTTTATAATTAAAAACGAGCAGCAAGAGAGGTATAGCTCAATTACAGCTGGCAACATATTATATCAACAAATCAGTATTAACAAATTAAAAACCTTTATTTTTGTTATTCAATGATAACCAGTGGCGTTTTTAGGTGTTAAATGATTGGGCAACAACTGCTGTGCATAAATACAAAACCAGAACACAGGTGATAACAGGTGACTGAGCACATACCTGTTCTCCTCAGTTTGCTGTTACGGTGCTCGAGTCCCGGTTTGTATGCGCTGTCAGATTTTACCAAGCTGTCCTGCTGTTTTTATGGTTGGCATGTCTCTCAGAAATGTGCTTGAGATCCTGAAACACTGTTCTTGTCCAGGTACCAGCCTCTCTGAATAATAACACACACCGGAAGCAAAAAAAAACCCGTTGTCACTGAAAGGCTAAGCTAGCAGTTAGCCATTTTGTTCCCTTAGAACCACTCTATGCTAATGCTAATTATGTTTACCTGCGGTTTGGTTTATAACATTATCCCGCGGCTAGAGGACACTGAAATGTCTTCCCACTATTCATTTAAGTTCTGGCAATATACGTTGACCGTGGCTACTATCTTCTTTAAAAGAAACGTTAACTTCCGACAACTACGAACAGCTCTTAGCAAACAGCCAATCAAATAGCAGAGGGGCAACGGCCAATCAGCTTGGGCATGCGCAGTGATGTTTTCCCTGGAAGTAGCATTGAAGCTAACCTCCTGAGACCTGAACTTTTGTTTGGTATTCTTTTTTTAAACTTTTCTTTGGTATTTTGGCTCAGTAGGACCCGATAAGTATAGAAAAAGTTAAGTTGTCAACGATAATTACGTCCAAATCACCTCAAACAAGACGACATAAAGTCCCAATGTCTTCAAACAAGAGGATAATAAAGTCCTAATGTCTTCAGTGGAGTACTTCCTAATTAGCAGTATCTTATCTTGTTACTGTTGCTAAAATTGGACAAATTTGTTGTCGAATCAAACTTTGAACATTATTAATCATAAATAAGTGAACAAGTTTCAACCATAAAATGTGATCAGGTTTTGGACTTTGTCCACTTCTGTGTCGGGGTCAGCTGCAGACTGATTTGGCAGAGATGGCTGCCATCTTGTTTTTTCATGGATTAGTGTATTGTGCTCTTCCTACCACTAGATGGCACAAAAAAGTGTCCACAGACGAGGACAACAGGTCTAAGTTAAGTAGAATGAAGTATAAGGTCACGTAAACCCAAAACATGATGTACTTATATGAGGATGAGGATACCAGTTTCAAGGTATACCCTGATATAAAAGTTGACGGTTATAATACTGTGTACATTTGCTTACAACAATAACCCTTCTGTTTTCTTGCCTTTCAGAGCCGTTCTGACTTATAATATTATAAATTCTGAGATACCGTGACACCGCAATATTTTCTGAGACTGTTATTGTACTGTGAAAATTCTCATATCATTGCAGCCCTACATGTGAGGTACTTGACATTGCCAGTTTGGGGGTATCCCTGAATTTATAAGAAGTCCACTGGGTATCACAGCACATTTAAAACACAATTTTAAAACTATCATCAGTCACTGACCCTTAAAATTGTACAATAATGATAAATTATAGAAGCAACCAACCTTTTATTTGTCATGCATAAATCTACAATATTGGTCATTAATGATGTTAGAAAACTTTCTGATAAAGCTTTTTTTTTTTTAAATTTTTAATAGTTTGTTAAATTCTGCACAGAGATGGAGATGCAGCTTCCACCTCATGAGGGAGCCGAGCTCTCTGTGGTCGACATGCACACAGGTGGAGAGCCTTTACGGATCATCCACAGCGGCTACCCAGAGGTCAAAGGTGACAGCGTGCTCTCCAGACGCCGCTATGTCCGGGAACACCTTGATCGCCTCAGGAGGGTGCTGATGTACGAGCCACGGGGACACTACGACATGTATGGAGCCCTGATCGTGGACAGTGAGATACCTGAGGCTGATCTGGGGGTGCTGTTCATGCACAACGAGGGGTACAGCACCATGTGCGGACATGCCGTCATCGCACTGGGACGCTACGCTGTTGACTACAAACTGGTGAAAGAACCAAAGTCACCAGAGACTCAAGTGAACATCCACTGTCCCTGTGGGTTGGTGAAGGCGTTTGTCGAGTACTCGGATGGTAAAACAGGAGGAGTGAGGTTTCTCAGCGTGCCAGCGTTCGCCTTCGCTACAGGTAGGACACTCACCCCGAAGAATTTCCTGGTGTTTTTATATTCCGCAGGATTCACTAAATGACTCTCCACCAGATGTGACGGTGACAGTGGAGAGGTTTGGTGATGTGACGGTTGACATCAGCTATGGTGGAGCCTTCTACGCCTTTGTAGACGCCCAAAGGTTTGGCCTCGATGTGACCAAGTCCAGGACTCGAGATCTGGTGGATGCAGCCACAGCAGTGACCAACGCTGTCAAAGCTCAGGTAACATGTTCAGGTTGTGCAGCTGTCAGGAAATAAGAAATGCTGTGTTAAACTATTCAACACGGAATTATCAGTGCAGATGCAGAAACTTTTTTTTTTCATTACACAATGTTTGTGGAAAGAGTTTGGCCATAGTTCTCTGCCTGAAACCAGTGGATTGCACCCTCCGGGTTGGGAGAGTTACTGCCTCAAGTGAGGGAGTTCAAATATCTTGGGGTCTTGGTCATGAGTGAGAGGAGAATGGAGTGTGAGATGGATCGGTGGTTTGGTGCAGCTTCTGCAGTGATGCAGGCACTGTGCCGGACTTTAGTGGTGAAGAGGGAGCTGAGCCGGGAGGCAAAGCTTTCGATTTACTGGTCCATCTACGTCCCAACCCTCACCTGTGGTCATGAGTTCTGGGTAGTGACTGAAAGAATGAGATCGCAAATACAACTGGCTGAAATGAGTTTCCTCTGTAGACTGGCTGGGCTCAGCCTTAGAGATAGGGTAAGGAGCTTGGACATCCGGAGGGAGCTCGGAGTAGAGCCGCTGCTCCTTCCTGTCGAAAGGCGTCAGTTGAGGTGGTTCGGGCATCTGATCAGGGGATCCCCTGGACGCCTCCCATTGGAGGTGTCCAGGGCGCATCCCACCGTTAGGGTAGGCCCCCCAGGAGGAGCTGGAAAGTGTTGCTGGGGAGAGAGACATTGATAGTGCTTTGCTCAGTCTGCTGCCCCCGTGACCCAGCCCCGGATACACAGATGAAAATGGATAGATAGATATTTGGAGTTGGACACATTTGGCCACATTGCATATGTTGATTTCGCAGCTTAGTTGTCAGTCTTGACGTATTTTTGTCTTATTCTCTCCTAGGTGAAGTTGCACCACCCAACCAGTGATGACCTGGCCTTCCTCTATGGCACCATCCTCACTGACGGCAAAGATAATTATTCCTCTGATCCCACTGCTAACATCTGTGTGTTTGCTGAAGCTCAGGTATTTTTCGGACACCTTTTTTGTTTGACGCTATGAGGAAAGCTATCTGAAACCTGGCGTTAACTGGTTTAAACATGTTCTCAGGTGGACCGGAGCCCCACTGGTTCTGGTGTGACAGCCCGAGTGGCTCTTCAGTATCACAAAGGTCTCATCCAGCTGAACCAGACCAGGACATTTCAGAGTGGAGCCACTGGATCCCAGTTCACAGGGAAAGCTGTTGAGGTACCACAGTTTCCTTTAGTGCCCCTGCTCTGGCCCCACCCTGCATGTGTGCTGATAAGATGTTAATAGGTAACTTCAACCTGGACCTGTTTTCCTATGTTTTTATGTCTAAGTGACTCTTTTGAACAACGATTTATTAAACTGGTCCAGGATTGAGCGAGAGCACTGCAGCCAGCAGTGCTTGTTTTTGCCACTGACAGGCTGAAATTGTTATAAATGTCTGACAACAATTTGGAAAGGATCCCTACAGAGATACAGAGATAGACTTTTTTGTTAAAGAGTAAGATCCTTTTTATGTAAGCAGCTGCAAAGTCGAAATTGCCAAATCCACCAGACTCTGTTTAAACAAACAGTAAAAAGCTAAACAATCTGAGCCAGTCAGTGGCAAAAACAAGCACTTTGAGTAGGCGTAAATTGACACAAATGTGCACACAGCCTGTTTTGACCTAATTCAAAAAGTTTTGTTCCCATCAGTCACTTAGACACAAGAAAATGGGGAAATAGGGTCCAGGTTGAAAAATACAGAAAGTTCCCTTGATGACATATGCCATGATGACATACACAGTCTCACAAGCTATTAATAATGATATTATACTTTTCTGTGACTTATGGCTGACAAGAACCTTTTTAATAATGTCGACTTTTGTCATTGAGGTTTTACTATTGTTACAAAAGTACTTTGGTTTATAACTAAAAATACAACTTACAAACTTCTGTTCACAGAGGCATGTCTGTGATTCTCTTCTGTGTTTCTGCTCAGGAAACCAAGTGCGGAGATTTCAAGGCTGTAGTGGTGGAAGTTGCCGGCAGAGCTTTTTACACCGGAGTGTCACGCTTTGTGCAGGAGCCAGACGACAAGCTGACACATGGTTTTCTGCTGAAGTGAGACTCGATTACAGGTGTTATTAAATGTGGTTATACGTAACAAAATTCTTTTTTTTTAACATTAGTCATAAGGTGCTTTTTTAACTTTAAAATTGAATATGCACAGACTCAATCATCACTCTTGACCTACTAGAAGTGTGCAGCGGTGCGTGTTTCTTGTGAGACTCTGCCCTCTGCCTGTATGTTCTTGTGTTTTTATTTTCTCTGTGGATGTTTTAAGGCATGTGCCCCTAGAGCGCTCAGGGGACGTTAGAGCTTTGTAAAAAGGTAACGACCAGGTGCCAGACCTTGAGCAGCAGGCATCCCCAGAGACGAAGTGCTGAAAACCCCCACAAATATAGTGAGGCAAACCAAATGAGAGTGAAGCTGGCGTTGGCTTTTACTTTCACTGTCACTGGCGAGTGCGTTTACAAACAGTATCTGATATTCCTGCATAGTATACCCATGGATGGATTACTGAGAGGACCAAGGGGCCCAAAGTGTCAGGGGTCCCCTTACCTTCTCCTGCAAAATGTCACCCCAGTTAACATATACCAACCAGGAAGAGAATCAAAATGACCACAACAAGATGCAAAAGGAACTTGAAGAGAAATAAAAAGGGCACAAAACAAGAAAAAGAGACACAAAATGATCATAAAAGACACATTCATTCATTTTCACTTATCCTATTAGGGGTCACAGGGGGCTGGAGCCTATCCCAGCTGACACTAGGCAAGAGGCGGGGTACACCCTGGACAGGTCACCAGACTATCACAGGGCTCACATAGAGACAGACAACCATTCACACTCACATTCACACCTATAGGCAATTTAGAGTCACCAAGTAACATGCATGTCTTTGGACTGTGGGAGGAAGCCGGAGTACCCAGAGAAAACCCACGCTGACATGGGGAGAATTTGCAAAATCCCCCACCCCGGATTTGAACGGAATCCTTTTGCTGTTAGGGAACAATGCTAACCACTGCACTATGCTGCATATAAAAAAATGACAGTCACAGTCAAGTATTCTGTTCAATAGCAGTTACAGACCACTAGATGGAGCTCTCAGCCTGCTGTCTATCAGAGTCTTTGAAGATTAAGATTCTTCAGTCCTTTTTTTCTAGTGCATTCATTCCTGTTCATAGTCATGGTGCTAATAAACAATTTTCTGACTCCACGTAAATGCTGCGTAAGAATTCATTCAAGTGCATGTGCTTAAATACAAAAACTCATGACTGTTTTCTCCCATTTATTATTATCAGGTCATTGTACAATGGAAGGCAATATTTAAATTATAAAAGTCCAATGGAGGTGTTTGACACTGGATGGATTCACACAGCTGAGGGGACAAATTCAACATGTGATGTTTCCTGCAAGAACGAAAACATCACATGTGGGTCACACACAGATTTTTTTTTTTGTTTTCTTTGTTTATTTTGCAGTGTGAATCCAGCCAGTGTTCAGAAAACATATTTCAACTATTCAATAAAAACATAAAGGAGGGCACTCCCTTCACAGGAGGAGAAACAAGTGTATTGCATCGACTGGGTATTGTTTTAATGTCATTTAGCATAGTAATTATCATGGATTTATATGTGCATGTGTACCAAGCACGCAACCTTATATATAGATATATGTAATCTATGACACGAGTGTCCACACTTGTTGAGAAATTGCAGATTAGGCCCAGGCCTTTGAGAGTACCCACTCAACAATTAAAACAACAGAGTTAAGGCCAGCTCTTAACAGGAAAAGGTTCAAATAAAACATACAGTGATCAGATATATAAATGCTGCACGTCAATAATGATGAATAGAAAAGAAAACTGCTGTGTCGCCTGCGGTCAAATCCACGTCTGTCTAACGACGCAGCGTCTCAGTCCCGTGATGGTTCTGACTGCAGGAGAAGGTCAGTGACAAGGGGAAGTTCAGATTCAGTCTTTCTCCAAAAAAATCATCTCTTGGACAGCTCAGGCATGAAAGCAGCCTCGCTCCATCTATGAAATCAGTCCGTACAAAATGGCCCCTTGTGTTTTTTAATGGAATCATCTTTCTGTTTGGATCAAGCGACGAGCCCTGAAGGAATCTGCTAGCTGCACGTTTCACTCTGTGCATAGATTCTGACGTACAAAAACAGCACAGAACGGTTCCTATCAAACAAGCGTGAGCATCTCTTACACCTTGAAGGAAACTCTTCTCCAGCTGGGAACACGTCCTGCTCCTGCACGACAACTTGTTATCACCAGACTGATCCTCCAGAGGGAATTATCTCATTTGGTCGTTAAAAACAACTTTTGGCTTCTGCTCCGTTTAACATCAAGACTTCAGAGGATGAAAGGTCTGAACATGTTGTGCTGTGTGTGGCTCTGCGGCGATGATGCAAGGCCGAGCTGGGTGGGAACGGAGGAGGGTGCGGAGGAATGTGCGTGTCAGTTCGACCCAGAGGGAAACTAATGATGAGCCGGGGTGGGCGAGCAAAACAAGGACAACGACCTCGACCTCCGCTTAGAAGTTGAGCTTTGTGACTGGTCTCTCTCTGCTCGCGTCTGTGGCCTGGCTGTTGATGCGCTTGCGGTTGCGTTTCATCTTGGACAAGTCCTTGTCGAAGACCTCTCCTGATCGCAGTGCTGACACCAAGTCGTCAAATTCGCCACCATCATCCTCCCCGTTGGCCTTCGCTTTCCGGGCCTTTCGCTCCTTTTCTCTCTGCTCTTTCAGCTGGTGACACAGAAACAAAAACTACTGTGTTAATAAAGATTCTCTCTGAATTCATTAACTGTTGCATCACAGAAATAGTTTCACATTTTTGGGAAATACACTTATTTAAATTTAACAGCTTTACAGGTGCATTTTGGTCAGACAGAGCAAGGCTAGCTGTTTCTCCTTTTGCCCTTTTCCATACACACGCTGGCTTGGCTTGACCCTGTTTGACTCAGCACCCCAGTCCAGCACAGCAGGGACTTATGCCCCCTTGAAGGTGTGGCTTTAACTGATGATGTGCTTTTGCTTGTGAACCTTGGAACATTTTTCTGTCCTCCCTGCTGGTGTTGTGCTCTTAATCTTTATTGTACAGTTGTCAGAATTCTAAAATTTTCTTTAAGCACTGCACAAACCTATGTTGGATTATACCCCATGGTGTAAACACTTTCTGATTCTTTTCATGGTATGTAAACAGTGAACGGTCACACACCTGAGCTTCCATTTTGGCCCTGCGCTCCTCCTCCTCTTTGCGTTTTCGCATGTTCTCGTTCTCCTGCTGAGCCTCGGCAAACGACTGCAGGAACTGGTCAAAGATGCCAAAGAACTCATCTGGCTGCATCTTACCGGCATCCTCACCAAAGTGCTTTACTGCCCTCAGGAACTGTGGGAGCAAAGAGAAAGGGGCACACAGGGATTAGATTAACAACAGGACACAGTGGAACCATGTTTAACTCCGTCTTTGACTGTTTTACAGGAGACTCATTAGGTCGCAGCTCTTTGAAATAAGAGCAGGGGCACCAGTAGTCAGGGCTTTGAAGCCTATGTTAACCCAAATCTGACCGGCTACTGATTACAGCTGAGGCCAGAGACTGGAGCCAGAGCCCACATTAAGGCAACGTGTTTGTTGAGTGTTGTTCACAGTAAGTTAAAAGGGACAACATCCAGATGTGAGCTCATGCTGAGAACACACACCTTCTGAGATGTGTAGAGATCTGTTGATGACATGCAAACTGTCAGGTGGAGCAAAAATGCATTCAACTGATTCATTAACTATTACTTCATTAATGTGCAGTGCATTCAGATGTGATGCGTTTTTTACTTCCTCACAACAGGACTCGATGTCTGTGACAAAAATGCCTTTAAATGTCACTTTTCTTTTATATCTTGGTATTTACGCACTCATACACTCAAACCAGATGCAAGGAGCTGTTTAAAGGGTCGGCATGTTCTCTGGTTCCTGATCACAAGCACAGGGAACCACTGTAAACACTCTCAAATATTTAACCGTGGGACACTGTAAATGATTCACAGAAACTAATGGCTGCCATGTGACTAGCAGAGCACTTGGGTCAATGGAGCACACTATAGGGTGAAAAACATGCTCAGAGATACAAACTCAGCATCGATACATGTGGGCAGATGCATCAATTAAACTTCAGGGTGTGATACTCCTGTCGAAATGGAAATACACTCAGGTTTTTGGTCATAGAATGCCTGTTTTGCTAAAATGGCTGTTTCTTTTTTTGCTTTGGTATGACACATTAGCCATGAGGTTTCCTGATGTGAGACAGAATTGTCAACCCGTTACGCTCCATTTCCATCTTCAGTCAACTAGAACTCCGTGGGGTGGGCGGATTCAAAGGTCCGGGCCCAGGCAAGCCATCAGGAAGAACTTATTCTAATTTTCAAACAGGCCACCCACACTAAAATCTAAGTTTGACAAAAGCATTCACAAAAGGACATGTTAGCAGGGGAGGGTAGTAAAGTGTTGCAAGAAACACACATGATTAAAAAAGTATGTTTTTTAAACTGTACTTCTAATCTTTACTTGAGTATATCTTTGAGCCAGAAATATATTTTTTACTTTACTACAATGCCGTTAAAACCTCTGTTAAAACTGGCAGATTAATCAATGGATGCACCCTACACTAAAATGAGAGTGTTGCTCCAATAAATAGAGCCCTAGAGATGAACACGTTTCCACAAATAACTGTTGAGTTAAGTTATGATTGGTCATCAGACGTGGCCAAAGGGGAGGAAAGAAGCCTCCAGGTGTGCTCATATGACACCAGCCGATGTCGCAGCATTGTCTGATCAAGCTGTTAAAGGTTTGGTGTGTGGGATTTAGTGGCATCTAGTGGTGAGGTTGCAGACTGCGACCAACTGAAACCTCTCCCATGTGCCAGCCATGTAGGAGAACTACAGTGGCCGTTGCAAAAACCTGAGTGGCCCTACATTGAACCACTGTTTGTTTTGTCTGTTCTGGGCTACTGTAGAACAATACGGCGGACTCTGTGAAAGAGGACTCGCTTATTATATAGATATATATATATATAGCTCATTCTCAGGATTCTTAGGGTGCTTTTAGACCTAGAGTCTTCAAGAAGGTCTCAGTCCGGTTGTTTTGGTGCGCACCTGAGTGCAATTGCAGTGTTCACACCTGCCCAAACGAACTGCACTTCGATTGAACCGAACCAAACAAACAGGTCAGGTGTGAAAGCACCTTTAGTTTCAGGTTATTATTAACTAATAAAAACATAGGTATTAATACTATGTTCCATTACAGCAGTATACCCCCATAAATCCCTCACACATGCCACCAAAGTGACTGTCAACACTTGATGAGCCGGCCTTCTATGCTTTGATGAGCCGGCCTTCTATGCTTTAGTAAAAACAAAAGCGTTGTTTTTTGCACTGGCAAAATACACCTTTAAAAAATGGAAAATAAAATGCACTTTTAGTAATTTATTAAGCAGGTACTTTTTTTACTTTTACTTGAGTGGGTTTCTCTAACGTTGATGTTCACTTTTTCTTGAGTAATTTCTTATGTACTTCTGAGTATTGATTTTCAGTTCTCTCCCCACCACTGCATGTTCGGTTGAACGTGTAAAATAATATCCCCCGCCTCTGTTCCTAGTTTTCTCTTTTGACCTGCACACAT